GCACATCATTCGTCTAATTGAGTGAAGCTATCAGGAGGAATTCACAAATAAATATCATATCATTACTGTTATGCAACGCTAAAAGGAAGAGTGTCCTCGCACCTCGCTGGCTTTGGAGTTCAATCATATTCAAGATATCATATAGTTAGATCAACAACTAACATTTTTTGGAATCACCAAAAGGTAGCTCAAGTAGTAAGACATGTGGTATGCTCTCGGGATTGTTCGATTCTCAACCCCCCCCCCCCCCTTTCCAGGAAAAACTCCTTATCGACAACTGGCATGGATTATTGATATAAGCCCGAATCACTTGATTCCCTGAATTCGTCGGGTATTCAACGAAGCCCAACATAGCCTCGGGTGTATGATATCCCTCTTCATTAAAAAATATTTGTTATTAATTGTGATTTCATATCATAAATCAAGTCATTCCATGTGTAAAAGTCGACACTCCTTCCATCTTCACACATGATTCACTTTAATTGGTAAAAATATCCAAATCTTCCCAAATTTAGGGGGGGAAGGGTGTTTTCATTATTCTAAACATGATTAACTAGTGTTGGTGCTAGGGATGATGGGTGATCCTTTGGGGAATATTGATTATCTAAATAAAGCCATTGTCTTTTTTGGTTAATGAAATATTGTGTGCTTTTGATTTGCATGAGAAGATCAAAAGGGACCTATCTAGGCCCCATATCAATATTTAGTGTTGTCTTCAACGTAGTCATGATCTTTTGATATGACCCTTTTCTTTTTTTTTTGGCCCCTTTTTAATGTGGGTGTTTAAGGGGTAATTAAAGGTCCTAATCTTAACCTTTAATTATCAGACAGACATTAGAGGATGGATGGATTGTTAATTAAAAGGGTGACTTTGATTTGATTATTTTTGTGGTTTTTTCCCCTAGTATTGAGCATGCCTTAATAGTTATATCCCCACCTCTCACCAGGTATGCCAAAAATAATATTTCTTTGGCTTCATTCCATTGCTACAGTCTTATGCTAACCTAAACTCCACTTAGAGATGGAGAAGGATCTACTTGCCAATCTCCAATACATTTCATGGCATCAATCAAGAATCATTTCGAAAATGTACAACAGATGTTTGGTTCGGTCTTGTTAAAGCGTGCTATGCAAAAAATAATGTTCTTTCATATATAGTGTCACATTGAACTGATGTTTTCATTTGTGGCATCGGATCTCAATTGACATGGTCTGTCATAAGTTAAAAGACGATAAGTGTACCGGAATGAAAAGAGAAGACACCACCGTGAATCCTCCCATATATCGATGATTCTCATTGAAAATTTGATATTAATGTTACGATATTGATACAAAAATTTTCTGAAAATTATATAACAGATGTTTTGTTAGCTTTATTAAAAGCATGCTATTAAAATAAAACAGTATTCTTCCATAGCGTCACACCGAACTGATTGTTTCCTTCGTAGCCTCACGCCCTTAGATGGTTCGCCATGAATTGTAAACGATGAAATCTCGATGACTCTCATTGACAAATTGATATAAATTACTTGTAAATGTAGGGTTCAATGAGAATCTTCTTATTAATGGTCTTACGAGAGATACCACCATTAATAGAATTTCATTTTTCCCTCCATGGTTGAGTGGGATTTCATACTACAGAATGATACTTTCGATTCTATAATTCAACACGCTTCTTCATAATAAAACATTATGGTTAGAATGATAATAATTAATAATGTTTCAAGAATACAACCATCTCATTGAATTCCATATTTTATTTTTTACACATTAATGTATTGTATGTTATATAGCTGTATAGCCATTGAGCTAGCTGGCTAATTGCTGCTACATATGATCTCTATCTCTATAGATGTATTTAAAAAAACCTTATATAATATTTTTATTTGCAATAATACTATATATTATACATTAGCCCCCTTGATCAATGCTGCCATTGTCTGGTCACTTCTAGACAAATATATAGATCTCACTTTCTTCTCCATGATTGGTCATTTTTCTAGTTAGCTCCTACAATCGAATTAATTTTGCATCACCATGCATGATGTAATCGCGTATACTGTAAATTCTGATATTTCGACAAAGAATTCTTATTCAAGATCAGAAACAAATTAGCTCCTATAACTTTAGTTGTTGAGAAATAAAGAAAATTAAATCATGTACTATTAGTTCTTTAATCGTCACAAATCATTTTCAAGATTTTATATAGTTCTTTTTGTGACGATTGAAAAGTTCCGGTCAAAAAGGTGAGTAGAATTGTTGGTGGTGGAATTCAGTAACGTGTGACCAGAAGAAACAACTATGTATAAAGCGAATACGAACAAAATATGATCGATCACACAATGAAAAAGGAAGTGATTTCGACTCTGTACTATGTAATTAATTTTGTTTGGTATATGAATTCCCAAGGCATGAAGGAGGAGAAAGATACAAAGCCATGGTCCAAGATCGGGACCAATAATAATTGATAGCAACTTTGATAATCGATCACACCTCTTCAAGAAAATTTATTTTTACTCACTCTGCCCTTGAAATCGTTCAAAGACAAAAGAAGATCCAACAAGAACAAATGAACAAAAAGGCCAAGACAACCAAAGACAACTTTCGATACTTCAACAAACCTTTTGTCCTGCCTCTTTAATTCTCTTGTCTTCCCCTTGTCTCTCTCTTTTCCTTTCCTTCCCCACTCCTTATTTTTTGACAATTTTCTACCTTGTAAGAATGCTAATGGATACTTTTTATCTTATATTCTCAAACTCCTTAACCAAGGGAATTGTCTTCCCAAACCATGGCAATGGCTAGGCCTTCCCAATGCACTTACCAATCACCAATGCCATGATTCCCCACATATTGTTGAACGACCTCGACGAGAGATTGGGTTGTCGTTACTACTGAAGGAGTTATCGACGAGTCCACATCAATTTACTTTCACCGCTATACTAGAGCATGCTCGGTGATGTCGTGAGAGGTTCGTACGACGGATTCGGGCGACATAAGCTGTCATTAGAACTAGCTAGGTTGTGGGTTGTCTTCCAGCTCTTCCGGGTCATGAGTTTCCGGAAGAGAATTCTCTTAGTACAAATTACCAACAAGATCGTTTGTGATAATACATCTCTTGCTTCTAAACTGTCTCACTTATTAGGTAATTTCCATGATATCAATACTGATGCACTTAAAACCCTCCAAACATATTTCATGGATTTGGACATGTTGATGAGTACACGTAATATACTTGAGTAAGTGTGCCTAAGGGAGAAGTCCCTGCCAAACTCTTCTTGTTTACCTATTAATTATGTAGTTAGGATGATGATCTCGAATGTTTATTTGTAGTATTTATGTACCTCGGTTGCTGAGATGTTGGGGCTTTGCTTACCTTGGAAACAAAGAACACATTGAGGTTAACTACACAATGGGGAAAGGACAAAAGAATGAACCAAAATCCCTCCTTACACACCTTACTCTATATGCATAGTGATTACCAAACATATATAAAGAATTAGTGATGAAGATGGTCGAATATGCCCAAAGGTAACAACAAAGAATCATTTCTATGATCATCCAATCCAATGTGGGCTTGAAGAAATCAAGTGAAGGCCAGAAAGTAATCGCAGATGGACAAAATGTAAGATCGCGGGATAAATTGATTTGTCTGTCATGTGATGTAAACAATTTTGAAATACTTTGAAACCGAAACAAAGGTGTGGATGGAATCAAGCCAAATCATTGTGGTGGTTATCAACTTCATCAACATCATAATCATCCACATACCCAAAAGAAAGAATAATTTTGATGACAAGTACCATATTAGAGGTCAAACTTCCAACTAATGAAAAGGGTAACATTTTCCAAGCCAAGAAAGCCCCACTATGCCCCTCTCTCTCTCTCTCTCATTGTCATTCTCTTTCCCTTTGATTAATGGGAGAAAGCATCATCACATGGGAGAGTTGCAATCACAAAGGGAGAGATGTAGAAAGATGGAAACGCAAATGAGACAAATGGGCAGAGGATTTGGTAGGGACTTCTTTGTTTAATGCCTTAACCAACACAAACACCACATTCTCATCCCACTCAGTCAGTCAGATTGTGTTTCATACGGTCTGTTATTGTAATTATTAATCTGGGTAGACAGGTTACATAGAGAAGTGTACATGTTGCAGAAGCTTTTGTCTGATCAAGCTTCATGTATTCTCTGTACATGTTCTGCTTCCTCAGTAACGTTTTCATGGGACTTTTAAAAGGTGGAGGAGGAATGACACCTTGCAAACACACTTGCTGCTGCTGCTGCTGCTGCTCTCTCTGCGACATTGCCACCCTGTTCCCATTCTTGATTCTGTCAACTCCCCCCTTTTCTTTAATTGATGTTCACTTGGTTGGTACGATCTCAAATGATTTGTTTTACGACGCAAAGCAGTAACACATAACGTCGGCTATTAATACCGTATGTAGTATCATATAAGAGAGTCAATAACCACGTTCGGAGTATTGTTCATACAATGAGAACAATTATCATCAACAAGGCTGGCTTTCGGTGTAGACATGTTGGAATCAAGAGATGAAAAGCTCTCATTGACGCCTACTCGAGAAGGTGCTGCGAATTACTGGAACATGAGCAAACGTTAGGTTTAACAAGCATCATATTGCTATCAATAACTCGAATTAGCATTCTCTCCGCGAGGTTGTGTTGATCCAAGTGGGGGTTGTTCCTTCACACAATATGCCAAAAACAAATATGTAAGTCAGTCTTCCACGTCTGGTTCTTTGCCTCTCTTTGTTTATTTACTTCTTGTTCTCAATTAGGGGAGAAAAAGGAGAAGATTTGCACGAAAAGGGCAGGCAGAAGCAGAACCCAGCCAGAGAGAACGTGGGAAGAAAGGGAAAAGATGTATATACTTTTGGGTCCAAAGGTTAATGGCCTTTTGTTGTCTTATTGGGTAGAAAACTAAGAAAAGAAAGGGAGTTTAGTAATGGGTTTGGCAGATAAAATCAGATTTCCTGTCCATTGGACGAAAAGACTATAGCTTGATATTCTTTGCCTGCACGCCAAGTAAGTAGTAACTTAAGAGGAATGTTACACATTGGAGAGGTAGGGATTCATTCCTTTACTAAAGGCTGAAGATGTCAGGACAAAAAGATTACAGGTAAACTGGAGGCAAGAAGAACATAAACAATTCAAATCCATCCTTCCTTTCACTGTGATGATCAGTACACAGGCTGAAACCAGGCCTAACATGCTGATAACTTAAGGGTATCATATTTCAGGGCCAAGCCCACAGTATTAGGAACGGATATGGGTCTGCAGAATTCTGAGATCCGACCCAATGGGCTTCAAGTCACCTAGGCCTATATCTTCAATGGCTGCCTTTCAAGTTTCACCCTTGCTAAGGTTCTGGTGGTGGTAGATTGCTGCAGACTAGTAGTAAACACAACGACTCTCAGCTATTCATCTTCCAGCATCTCAGTATCCAAGGGTCAAAACGAGCTCCTATCATCTTCCTACTGGTCTCTGATGCCTGCATACAGCTTGCTTGGAGGGAATTTCTCCCTCCACAAGCTTTGTGATGTTCCGAGTTACACGATGACAGGGAAGATGTGATGGCGAGAACAGAGAGACGAGTTGAGTTTCGCTTGTAACTGTTGTCCTCTCATGTCTGTGCCTCTGGTAAACTTCCTTCATGCCATATCTGCCTTAAGTTGGACGGATAGGACCGCCAGTAGAACAAATGTGTGACGGGGACTTGTATATCCCAGACCAAGGTTTCCAGCATCTGCCTCTTGAGTGTCAAACTCGACAATGTGACATCGTCGGGGGATCATCGCACCCTAATGTCACTGGAGGCCTTAGCATGTGCTTTATTCGTATGGTTCCAGCCTTCTTCAGTTCTTCTGACCAGAGCTGGACAAGGTCTTGATCCACACACGTTCTGATCAGTCATCTACAAGCACGACACAATGTGACAATGTGAACGTCTGATTCAAACTGACCTGAAATGGAGAGAGAGATTTACAATGGTGGAACATCAATCAGCAGCATATACCAGGATTCCAAAGATCATACCTGAATTGTGCAGAAATACCTGAACACAGTAAATGCTAACATAGCTGTGATTATTCATCAAAAAACATAGCTGTGATATGATCAGCGGTTGATTTCTCATGCCTCTAGTCATATACATCCTGCCAATTAACTGAAATGTGTAAAGAAAGGTGCCGGAAAATTTCCTGGGCAGCTGAAACATACCATCCACAGCTAACAGATTTCAATCTCTCCAATCTTGTACATCAAGATTCAATTCCGTTCTTAATGGTAACTCTGATACAGAATAAAATCAAGATGCTGGTCCATACTCCATTGTTGACAGCATGCATTGTGCAAAAAAAAGCGATGCAGGATATAAAATGAGCAGAAAACATCAGAAATTATGTTAAAAAGGAAGGCATAAACAATTTAAATCAGGGAAACCTGATACATTATATCTCACAAGTGAGATCATCAAGCAGCAACCAGATAGCCAGGGCTGCTGTTTCAGTAGATCCCAATATCTGTGATCCATATATTTGCCTGGAGCCATAGGCCAACAACCAAAGAAGTAAGCAGCCTGATAATATCATGTTCTACGGATGGACAATTATGCAGACCAAGAGAAGGCAGCAAACCCCAAAATCATCCTTGAACACTTTTGAATTGAGGTGTACAAGCCTCCTACTTTGGCCCTGGAAAATACATCATAACGAATCAATAGTATCCTGTAAGCAAAATTTCTCCACTGCAATTGGTACAGATAACACCAAGATAAAACAGTCCACATTGTTTCATACACAGAACCCAAACCATAATCAGCTCCCATATGATTTAACAGCTAAGCATGTACTCCCATGAACTCAAAGCATGTACCATAAGTTGTTTCTCAAAGGCCATACAGAATCAAATGCCCCCATACAGAATAAAATGCCAACTTTAAGGAAATAAAGTAACAGGAATAGGCAAAGATGAGTAGAAGTATATTCATTACTCAGGAGGTTTTTCTGGTACATTCACTTTAACTCAACGGCTATACGATTTAAAACTAACGGCAATGAGGACAAAATGTTAAACCTGCTTCTTACAATGGAGCATCTAAGTAACGTTTGCAAAGAACCTACAGCTACAGGAAATGAATTTGACAAGAGAAAGAATCCAGTTTTTTTGGCTTGTCATCTAGAAGGAATGGTACTATCAGCAGAAATTAAATTTCTGACCTCCATCAAATGTTCATCATTTGATATATGGAGGGAAAGGCGAAGATTTGTCACCAATGCTTCCTGTTCCCAACTCAATGGGCCCGAAGCGTGCAATGCCTCTATCGTGCAACGATAGGCATACAACTCTAACCTATGGATTTCACCAGTCAACTGCTCTTGTGTTGGAAGGGGGATGTTTGCCTCCTGATCTTCGCGCGGACAGAATGATTCTGCATCACTAGAATTGCAATCAGCATCTTCAATATGGCCTGCACGAAGACGGAATCTATTGGAATAGTTGTCATCAATGCTACAACTACCAACTGAGCATGCAACACTATCGGCATCACTAGATTCTAGGTCTGTTGCATATGAACATCCAACAGCTCCACCAAGCTGCCTCCTCTCAGCATCCACTTCGGAAAACCCAGCTTGGCTGGGGAAACCAATGGCTAATACCTCTTCACACAGCGAAGATTTATTAGCAGCAACCAGTCGGTTCGGCCTGCCCCCTCTCTCAACAGCTCTATATTTTCTTGGAGTCAAGTAATATGCTTCAGCTTGCGAATCACCATAAGCACCTCGTTTCACATTTTTACAAACAGTCATGTTGTGTTTCTGGAGATTTCCCTTATTCGCTCCCGGCATAACTGCATTTTCCCTCACCACAATTTTCCTCGAGTGCACCAATTGAACGTTAGAAGCATTTTTCTCATTTGCTTTCTTCTTCAGGGATAACTTCCCCTGGGGTTTCCTATCTTTGCAGCTCCCATTTCCCTGGACACAAAAAAAGCAGAGTGGATAAGGACTTGCACAATAACAGATGCTGGAAACAAGCTCCATGAGATTCTTAAACTTTAACTATAGCTTTCTAGTAATGAATCCCATAGTTCAGGTAGAACCTAAAGTATACATCTTTAGTTCATAAAACATGAGATTTAGCCAATTGGTGAAAAAGAAAACCGACGAAATCATCAAAGCTAAAGTTCATTTGAAATACGTAGGCGCTGGCCAATTTAGGAAATCAAGGCTTAGTTACATGAACAGCCAAAATGAAACAAATGCAATATGCAAGACAATGAAGGTATAAAGCTGCAGCTAAATCAGAACAGAAATAAGATTGACTACGATGGAGTACCTTTCCAATAACAACCCACTTGTCACCTTGCCAAGATTGCCTAGTTCGAATGCAAAAGTTGCTGACTTTGAACTCAGCAGATGATCCCAACACCCTCACCAAGTAATTATCGCCAAATGCCTTTGTGATCGTGGCAATTTTCCAGGTGCAGTCATCAAACACCTCCACTACATCGCCCGGAACCCAAGCATCGGAAACTTCAAATGCAGGTGGGCATGGCCTGATAGCATTTCTCGAAATCCTCTTCAATTCAGCATCCCCATCATACCTCACAGAGTAGTTGTGCCCATTCCCACACACAATCTCGGCACAACGCCACCAGCCTGAAGGCGAATCTCGTTTCTCCAGCACCTCCACTTTGCTTCCGCTCTTGAATCGCATCATGATCGCCCCCGCCAATATAGCAAAACCCTGTTTGCCAGGAAGAAGAACCACCACGTCAATCAAAGAGATAAACAAACCCCACCACCATCACAACAAAATCTCAGCACAGGCAAAATGAAACAACTGCAAAGTCCCGATCTGTAGACAGTTACATAAATCCAATTCCCAAAACTTACGCTTTCTGATCACCCTTTTGTTCGGTTGCTGAGAAAATTATCAACGAATCCAGATAAACCATATTCACCACCGATCATAGCAGAACAAGCTAACAACGAATCCACGAGCGGAAAAGAGCCAAACAACCCGAAATCGGATATTGAGAACACAGTGGTATAGCTCTCGCGAGCTCGTTGCTCGACAATAGAAAATTTCCACGATCAGATTTTGAAGAAAAGATCACTGTTTCACTAAGTTGAGCTTCTCTGTACCTCCCTTTTTCCCCGGCTCGCCAGCATAAACAAGTTTAACCCAACAGGAAGAAGATGGGGAAAAAAACGGCGAAAGCCGAAAAGGGGATGAATGGAAAACCGGCGGTGACAGGAGGAAAGGAAAAATACTTTTCTCGTATTTTCTCACCGTCTTTTCTCAGCAACCAATCAGACAGGTCAAACCAACTCCCAGAAAAATTGACTCCAACGAGGTGAACAAAAAAGAATAAACACACACAAAAAATCTAAGCTTGCGCCGAATCAAAACCAACCCAGATAATCAAAAGAAATGAAATCATACTGAATTCAGCTGAAGGATTAAAAAACCGCCATTGAAGGAGCTCGACAGAATCGAACAAAACCCAACCGAATAAAATCGAGAGAAAAACAAATGTATGGAGAAGCGAGAGCTCACCTCTCTCAAGAATGTTTTTTGGGTTCTTCTTCTTCCTGCTGCTTCTGCTCTTTCTTTCTTCTTCGTTTTTAGTTAAATTGCTTCACGGAATTTCGTATTTTGGGATTCGATAGCTCTCTGGGGTTTTTTTTCTTCTTCTTTTTTTTCAAGAACTGGGAAGGAAAATGTGAGGGACAATTTTTTAACTGGAAATTTATTCAAGTGATTTTATTAAATTATTATTATGAAATAATAATAATAAATTTTCCGTTCCTGCACGCAGTTGCCTAACCGGCGCCCGATAATAGCCTTTGTTGAGCTGGGCCTGGGATAAGGCAGGCAGGTAGGTCATTAACTGCCTCTTGCTATTGTGCGCCTTGGGGGTGTTAGCCTACCTTTTTGGCTCTTTATTTTCCTTTTTTTTAAATGTATTTGATTTGATAGCCTTCATTATGTGATCATGATGAAATGACAATACAGAGATTAGTCTAGTCCAAAGCTTTAACCTTCTCAAGGAACAAGCTTTGAGATCTAGTTAAGATGTCACTTACAAAAAGAGGTCGAAACTGATGAAGCGGTTCTTTGCATTTCGTGGTCATGTTGATCGATTTGTCATTTGTATATTTTTGCGTCGAAAAATGTTGTTATTTAGTTACTTATTAGAGATTGGTATTTTCCTTTCACTTGACCGAAACATGTTGAGAGTACTAAATTGTTGGATCTGTCGTCGTACAAAAATCAAAGACCGAAATCAGACCAGGGCACGTAGGGCTTATCTTGTTACCTAATGGACACTTTCATTCGCCAAAATGACGTGCAAACCGAATAATTAAAATAGAAAGGGATCGATCAACATGAAGAACAACTTTCAGCTAGCTAATTAATGACCTATGAACAAATCACAACATACACACCCCCCCCCCCCCCCCCCCGCCTTGTCGCAACTGAATGACTATTCGAGAGCCCTCTTCAATGATGACTCCACAAATCTGAAATCGCAAAGCACATACGGATGATGTCACGGGCCAACTGAAGCGAGTTAATTTTCTAGTGAAAATATACCCTCGTTACGATCTATTCACATAGAAATCGGACGATGCCAACTCAAAAAATTTACATATAATCGGTGTTACAGCGTACTTCAACACAAAACGAGCTAATTCATCTCATAATATCTCATTGATTAGACAAAAATTCCTTCTTTGTTTTGATAGTACTCAAGGTTAATAAAGATCAATGTCATGGAGAGAGAAAAATGGTAGTCAAGAACAATATTGCTCCTTCCTCAATACCAACCGGAAATTTCCAACGAGCCCATATATAAGATAAGAGTGCCATATTTGACGATTGAGAAGATGAGGACCAAGGCATTGAACATGTCAAAGATCAATTTGCAGCCATTATCATCATTATTAATTGTAATTAGCAACATGGTATACGTAGTACTATGGGCCTAGCTACCAAGCAAGCAAGTGGTATTATATAAAAAATCAAAGTGATTAACAAAAAGGTTAGACACTAACCATCAAATGGGTTGCTTGGATGAATTCGATTCGATATGCCCACATCTTTATCATATGCTTAATGCCCACATAATTAAACACATCCTTTTCTCTCCTATAAATTTGTGTTTAAAGATTGTGATCGCTTGTGCCATCAACTTTGTTGATTCAATTTTCTCCTTTGAAAGTAACATCATCATGTCATTTCATCTAATTAGGCTTAGAGTTAGGTGAGATTTGTTTTCCGTATAATCACTTGCATTAACAAGCCAAACAAAAGATGCAAATATTCACACAACCGACCGAAAACAAACAATGAAAATCAAAACCATTCGAATTCACGGGAAATAACAAAAAAATGTCTTTATGACCACTAAGTTGTTCATCATATTGTATTCCTTTACGTACAAATCGAACTCCATAGTCACTAAACAAGACCCATGACGAAGCTCCTCGAGGTCACCCACCATAGCACATCTCGCTTCGCCAAATGAAAGGAAATAAAATTGTCCTACAAAGCCACCAATTTCGCTGTTGTCGGATCGTGCAGCTCTAGATATTGAATTCCCCTAACCGCCAAAATCTCTTAAGTTATGTCAGGTTCTAATCTATTTGATGCGGATAAATCGACCATTTAATCAACAGATGCATACAACGCATTTGTTACCGTGATGATCCATCGATAAAGTTGATTTTTTTTTTTCACAATCTACCATTTGTTGTGCATGAGATGGATGATAGATTTTACTAGCTAATAGATGCTATAATTTGCAATACTTAATTCGACAAGTAACTAATACTATTATCATAAATGAGCATTACAACTGTCGTATATATACCGTATATTTGTAAAGCATTTAATCGTAATTTTTTTGAAAAGAAAAGAAATGATAAAGACTTGGCAAGGACAACGTGTGGTGAAGGCAATGATTTTTTTTTAGGGTTTTTTTATTAATTCATACATTTAATTAATTCAATTAATAAATAAATAGAAAACGTTAGGATGGACCGGTTTTGATGTTGGTGGTGGTGGTGAGGCTTCCAAGTTGAGGAATCTATCTATCGGCCAGCTCTTCCATTTGTTGTCCTCTCATGGGAAAGGAAGGATTTCACGTTGCAATCAAAGACAAAGAGGAAGAGGAAGAAGAAGAAGAAGAAGAAGAAGAAGAAGAAGAAGAGTGCTTACAAAGTTCAGATGATCTCTCTGTGTAGTATTCTTGTTGATGATGGTTAGTGGAATTTCACACAACTAATTGAAAGATTTCCCATACTTAGAAGTTAGGTTAAAGATGGATACTGTCATTCTTACGAGGGTCTAATAAAGTTGTTAAATACAATCGAAAGGAAGCACTTGACGAGGCGAGTTGTGACCAAATATTGAATCAAGTTCTAGAAGTATTTGTTCATGAGGCCGGAAGATGAAATGGTCATATTCTCATTTCTAGACCTTGGTATATATGATGATGATGATATCGATGAATTCTCAAGCGATTCAAACGTGTGTGTAAAATTACAAACGCAGATTATACGAAGTGGATTAGGATAGGGAGTAGTAGGCAGCTAGTATTGCTTTGCAAAATTAGAGAACGAGTTAGAGAAACAAGAACACGAAGTGCACGATGAAGAAACTTTACTAGGATGTGGAAGTATTACAAGTTACAAGACGATTAAAGATGACATCCCATCTTTTTACTATGACTATAAAGGTATCTAGATAGGTTTAGGAAAAACATATCCTTTACCGAAAAAGAAATAACATGTTCACTTCATCTTACAAGAAAACAAGACAGGTCCAACAGAATTCGGATACCAATTTAGGCATGGCGTTTCTTCTTTCAATTCCACACATAAAAGTAACCCTTATTTCTTGTAGTATTCGCCAAAGACAGCATTATGCCTTCTAAGCAAGCAAAGCAAAACCAATTTTTCTTGTCATCATTTCCAACTGGTTCTGTTTCCATACTGTTAATTCCCTAAAACAGAGTCATCCACAGCACCCAATTCTTTGTCGTCTTGGAAAACCTTTACATCCTGCCACGTCTGTTTTAGCCTTTTAGGAACTCTTCTTTCCCTAGAAACGGTTGCTTGAGGTTGAAGATGGTAATGGTGACGGTTGGGGAACAGACAAGTAATCGTTTTGTTCGTTAGTCTGCGAATCGGGCTAATCCATCCCATGGCGAAAAACGACCTTGCAACATTCTTCTCATTCTGTGCATTTGATTTTGTCTATGGATATGGCCGTAGTTGTAAGAACAAATAAAACACCACGAAACAATTGATGCAATCAAGAAAGAAGGATGGAGATGTATCTTTCATTTTTTAGAACTCTGCAAAAGAAGCTAAGCTAGTTGGGACATGGTAAACATGCTTGCTCGTGGTGACAGTTAAATGCACAGACTGAAGAACAGAAAACCCGCGGCAGCTTGCTCTAGGAGACGAGCCGACCAATTGTTTCATCAATGGGGACAGAAGAGCCAGAGAGCCAAACCACAGAGGAAGAGAACGACTGGGATGAGATGAACACCATTTTCCCCACCGAGCGGCTTGTGATGTTGCAGATCCTTCTTGCTCCCTTCAGGAACAGGGGAATAGGCCACTGGCAGCTCCGACGCAGACCCTGCCACTGTTTTCACAGGCGAAGAACCATTCGAAGCCAGTAGAGGCGACAAGTTGAGGAGGTACTCGTCGGACGAAGGCCTTGCAGATCGATACATTTTGGAGACAAGCAGCAGAGGAAGGAGAATGGCAATAGGAAAGCTGTGTGTAGAATGTTTCTAAACCGTGCAGAGATTATAAGGAGAGTGAAAAGCTGAGTTGATAATGAGATCCAGAGAGCTGGAAATATGCATTTTGTTTTAAAGCCCTTTTGGTCAACAACCAGAAGCAGCCAGCTTTAACTTGCAGAGTAATTAAAGCCATGCATGTGCTTAAGCTATAGAAAGGCGGGAGAACTTTTGCCACAAACAAGATATCATGCTTCTTCCATTGATACGAAAGTCAAAACCCACCACCCACTTGAGCAAGATGCACACAACTGTGTTCTGCAGATTTTGAAGTTGACTTGGGAATAAAGAAACATGGAGAAAGGAAAATGAAGGTCACATCTATGAAGGCATAAAAGCAAGTGTAAATAACAAGTGAGATATGCCCTGAAGCTGAATTCAATATGGTGGTAAGGATAAATCGATGTTTACTTGCGAAACAGCCTAACAACCATAATCCCATCTTTGGATGTTCGATGTACATAGTACATAGACCACCGCTAAACCAAATCTGGTGAAGTTTAGAAGATCTTAACCAGGAATCAGGGCACCTAAAATGCACATGGCAGTCAAGAAAGTGTTCTTTTAGAAACAAACCCAACTCTGCTTTGAAATTTTACAGTTACATTCATTATCCGGGGTCCTGCAGGGTCTTTGTTCATCCACGGCAGCACGCTGAAAAGTGAAGGAAACGAAATTCTAAGTCAAGAGTAAGCAAGAATCAGAAAAAAAACAGTGAAGCAATTAAAGCAAAGGGGAGGAAGAACTGAAGAAGGTTGATGAAGGTGAAACGTAGCCCATCGAATACACACAGATCCAAGTGTGAGATGGAGTTCCAAGAAACAAACCAATCAAATTCATTATGTACCTTACTGATGCTGGAAGCAGACGACCCCGTGGCTGGATCACTCCACGTGGAATTTACTTTTAAATGCTGGAAGCAGATTACCAGAAGACTGCCTGACTTCGCAGCCGAGCTCTACCTCCATTAATCTGTGGTTTTCCTTTGACCGGTACATTAGGAATTCTACACTTACGTTATCGCCTTCAGTGACACAACTAGGAGGGTGTATGAGGAAGACCTAATACAATCAGCAAAGACGTGAACTTTGGAAGAACAATTCAATACATTGAACAAGTAATCAATCAATAAATAAAGGGAAAAGTTTGCCTCCTTGAACGAGTAGTTCTGGTTTAGTACAGACCTGCTGGCCCCAGTGGGTGCCGGCATCTTTACTAGGAGCTGTTGTCAACTCAACTTCTTGCTGAGCCGGGTTATCCTTTCTTCCCTGGTACCATAGGGAAACAGTATCATGTTCTGCTGATTGGAAGAAGAGGGGGGGGGGGGGGGGGGGGGGGGGGAACTGAAGACACTTTCGAGCTAAAAACTAGCAAATCTGTTTCTCAACTTACTCGAAAATGGACATCAAACCATCCACCAAATCCACAGAGGCTTGTATTTTCCATGGCGATCGAAGAAGAAAAGTTGGACCTGACCTCACTGATGTCATTTACAGTGGCGGTTAGACAATCAATCTCCTTGATAATAGCAGCCGTCCCGATAATTTGATTTGGATGAAGGTTTTGCCACAAGGATGTCTACAGGAATTTGAATACCAGGTCTTTTCAGATATGGAGCATATTTAAAAAGCAAGGATGACGGATCATTTTGCATGCAGAAAGAAGGCTACCTTTTTGTTCGTGCAGACAGATATAATAAATGAAAAGAGAAAAACAACACAATCCTAAATCCTATTATGCGAAAATCATGAAGGTAATCAAGAAGCCTAGCTATAAGAAACAAATCTTGGCAAATGAGTTCACTAATTCACATGTCTCAACATTGTAGTATCATTTTGCCTCAGAGGTTCGTTTCCATCTTATCTACCTCTCTTAAAAATTCATACTCTTTGACCAACAAAAATTAGGGGAACGAGAAATAAGAAGATTTCATTCCCTGACTCATGTATTAGCAATATATAACTTATCAAAACCAATGCTCAAGGACGTTTATTTCTAGAGCCAACCTGTAGATAATATCTCCTCTGCTCTGCGGAGAAAGGTTGAGTCAAAACACCCATATCAACCCCGTAGGTATCCTTTGTGTCTTCAACGAAATTATACCAATCATCCATTACTTCTTCCAAATCGTTCTCTTTACGCTCCACCAATCCAGATCTTATAGGTGCAAACCAAATCCGAGCATGGCTAGGATACCTGCCGCATTAAGGGATAGTATCAGCAAAACAGAAGCAAGCTAAGACCTTTGACCTCGAAGTAGAGAAAGCAAAGCATATTAGTTTATCTTAATATTAAGTTCAGGCATTGAACTACTTACATGACTCCATTAGGCTTCAGCCAGCGGTCACGAGCACATATTACCGAGTCAAACATCGACTCTCGCAGAAGTAAGTAACCCATCCACTCCGAGATAATTACATCAACTGTCATCATCAAAAGTCCCAAAAATCAAAATCAGACAACTAAACTATAGGAAAATGACCCATGAGAACAAACCGCCAACTACAAAACTAAATCAAAATGAAAACCTTTCTCTGGCAGGACAACATCCTCCATAGAACCCTCGATCACTTCAACCACATTCTCGACATTGTTCGATTTAACTAATGCACGTGCATGCTCCGACATCTTAGTCGCTTCAACTGCATAGACCTTCTTTGCACCTGCTTGTGCTGACCAGATTGCAAGAATGCCACTGCCAGTTCCAACATCCAGTACTGTCTACAATCACCAACATCATCAGTCCTAAGCATAAGCTAACCATAATCTCAAAGGAACAAATACCCTAACTTCAAAGAACCAAAAAACCAGTTAATTCCCACGCCTTAAATCAATCAGAAACTTGAACCCACCCTAATTCCTTTACTTGTAAAAACAAAATCTCCCGGGTTCCCTCTAGTTGCAGCCAATATTCAGTCACAAGTCAAATAAGCCTCAAGCAATCACTCTTGGTTCAACTAAAAGACTAGAAAGCTAAAACCCTCAATGAAGTCAAACCCAAAGATACTAGCTTTGGACTCCGGGGACGACAATCCCGGAGCTCCGACCCGTTAAGAGCTTACAATGAGTCAACAATTGGGGGGGAAAGCTGTAACAGAGCAGGTGGGGAGAGCAAAGTTGGTTACTTTTCCATTGAAATGGTGTTTGTTCCGGAAAATGGAGTCGTAGTAAGCGTTCATGCGAACCCGATCGGAGAGCATCTCTTTCTGGTGGTAGAGGAAGGCATATGTGCAGAAGTAATTGGCGAAATCCACCTCCTTGTCAACCACCGGCGGTGCTCCGCCATTCCCCAAGGCTGCGCGGTCGCTAGCTCCGCCGTTATGCCTGCTCCCCATGTCGGTAAGCGCTTTAGTTTCGTTTTCGTGTGTTCCTTCTCTTTGAAGGCGGCAGGCCGACGTTTGCGTTTGTTTCGTATTTGTAGTAGGTCATGTTGGAACCGGCCTAGCCGATTGATTCGGTTGACCCGGGTACCCGAAATTGGTTACACAAGACAATGCTACGATCCTTTTTTTGGTGATACTATGATTTTGATTGGTATCATCCGTTTTTATTTTAGATGCTAAAATTTAATTATCCAAGGGGATCAAACTTTACACTTGTGGGTAATTTCCATCACTCATTTCTTACAATTGTGTGTAATTAAATTTTGTTCTATTGATAGTTAACTAACATATATGGTTGCTAAGAGGATAACATAATCTCGAGTATAGGTTTTTATATTTTCTACGGTTTTCCGACAAATTATGGTTATTCTAACAAGTTTTGACAACTGCGATTAATAATTTAGAATACAAGTTTTTGAAGTTTACCTTAACGATTGGATGGAGGTTTACATCTATATGTTATGTGATTTGTTGTCTTTTCCTATGACATGTCAGAAATTACCCATTATTCTCTAATTCATGTATTCTTAGCCCTTAAACCATCTCGAGGGACCTCAATCTCTTCGTTGGAGGGGTTTGAGGGATAGAATCATTCGATTTGTTCGCTCGTCATTTTAGCATGTCCGATTTATCCTCTAAGTTAAAAAATTTAGTTTATTCTCTATTTGTTTGATGAGGTCTTTTAACATTTTTTTTTGTTATCCATCTTGAGGAATAAAATTCGCAACAACAACAACTATGGTGTTAAAAAGGGTTGGCGAACCACTACTCTCTTACTTTGTTTTGAAAAGTTGTGCTCTCCCTTATCTCTAAAAAACTCTTCACCTTTCGTCTTCTTCACAAGGCAGCCACCAGCTCCTTCTAGTAACCGATGGTAGCTCAACCTTGTACTTTTCTTGCGTTTTATGTATTTTTTTTTCCAGTTATTTCTAGCATTTTCACATCTATGTTGTCTTTTCTTTTCTCCAAAGTGGTTTCATCCATCTAGGTTTCTAGGTCTGGTTTGGCCTTGCTCTTATAAGGATCTGAAAATTTGCCGCGCCTTGACCTCCTCTAATGGAGTTTCGATGCCGGGGAGTTATTCTCTTTGTTGGTGTGCTTATTTTTTTTTAGCATATTCATCGGTCTTTCTTTCCTTTCGTCTTCCTCTGGTTTGCTTGTGAGCTTCCTCTCACACCGACCAAAGCATTGGTCGGGTGTCGTTTTCGGCTATTGTTGATCGTGGTTCTTTAAATTTTTGGAGACTATGAAGGAAACTGTTTTGCTCAGGTAACTAACTTTGTAATTTGTATCCTTCCAATAGGAATAATCAAAGTAATGTGCCCCTGGGTGAACCAACGGGTCCGACCGCCCCGCCCGAGCGAGAAAAAACCGAGACCCGGACACAACGGCAGGCTAGGTAGGTACAAAACGACACCGAGTATTGAGATTTACGTCATCCGAAAAAGTTGCAGTTTTTTTGGTTTGTTTTCTTCCCCAGTGCGGAGGAGAAAGAGAGCTTTTCTCTCTTTGGCTCCTGCTCCCTGTGAAGCTGCTGCGTCGTACCGGATTCGAGGCGGTTGCACTCCGTTAAAAAGGTTCGTTCCTCCGCCGACTCTAGATATTTTTCTCTGAAACAGAGTTAAGCCGATGATCTGACGAACTAGTCGGGAACCTCTCGTTGTGTTTGAATTTCGGAGTTGTGGATCTTCTCATTTCCGGTCCGTTTTATGCGTTTATGCCTGGGATGTGGGTTTTCGAGATTCGGTTCTGGCAATGTGGGGGAAGGAGATGGAATCGATGGAGGCTCGAATTCGTTTAGGTTTCCCAACGGGATGAAATCTTGTTAACACTGTGTATATCCAAACTTCCATTTCTACCGTGTGATTTTTTTGACGGGGTTTGGCCATTCCTCCCCCCCGCTGCCTTCTTCGTTTGTAGGTTTTGGGATTATTGGGTCGGTTCTGTTGCTGTCCAACATGAGCTTCACGGGTCCTTCAATGGCTTCTGGTGAGTTTTAATGGGTTCCCAGTGTGCTTTTCTCTTGCATGTTGGTTCCGTTGACCGAGCTACTGAAATCAAATTAGTTCCTTCCTTGGCCTTTGTACTGTTGCTATGCCTGGATTGGCTGCTCTTTCTTGAATATGGGTAGTTTAGTAACCAGCTTAACGTCATTGGGTTGGTTACAGGTGGTAAGACTGCTAGTAAAGCGTTTGATTTCGGGAAGACGGTTGTGGTTAAGCCCAAAGGCAAGCACCAAGCTACTGTGGTTTGGCTGCATGGCCTTGGTGATAATGGCTCAAGGTAAATCTCAGTTTTCCCCTTTACTAATGCCTTTTAGTCTTTTACTTAGGCAGTACTCATGAACAAGTTTGGTATGGTGGTATTCGGGTACCGTACCGAGAGACAGATTAGGGAGGTCTGTGCTTCAGGAGATATATCTGGAAGTTTGCTTTCTCCCCTTTACCTCTGTGAACTTGCACCAATGTTCTTGTGTATCGTTTCTTCACCAGATCCCTGATGAAAATTTTGCATGATGTTTGACCATTTAATACTGTGCTCGTTGTGCATTTTTGCAATAACATTTAATGTGGCTTGTATTTCTAACCAATCTCTTTTTTCCTACTTGCTGCGGAGCTGTAATCTAGCGTTTGTTATAGTAACTCCAAACATTTTTAGAAGATACGAAAAAGTGCAGACTAGTTAGCATTTTTATTCTTCTTTTCAATGAATACATACAACTTCCTGTTTCACCTTCTTTGTCAAGTATTGATTTTTTTTTTCTTTTGTGTTGTCTTGTTTGGTTTGCAGTTGGTCCCAGCTCTTGGAAACCATCCCTCTTCCAAATGTAAGAATAATTCCTTTAAGAGAAGTGACCTCAGTTTTATGTTGTCTGTCCTCGGTTAATTGGTCTTGTGTACACAGATTAAATGGATATGTCCAACCGCTCCAACTCGACCTGTAACTCTATTTGGTGGTTTCCCATCTACAGCATGTGAGTTTTGGTTGCCTAATAGACTCATTTAACCAGTTCACCTGAAATTACCGCAAACTGAAGTTCTCTTCTGTATGATTATGTCTTATCGTGCTTATTTGAAACGAACTGAACATGGGCTTGATGAAATTAGGGTTTGATGTTGAGGAACTTTCGGAGGATGCGCCGGATGACTTGGAGGGCCTGGATGCTGCTGCAACACATGTTGCTAACTTATTGTCAACAGAGCCTGCTGATAGTAGGTGTCATCTTGCAGTTGACTTTTTTCATCTTCAGGCTATTACCATGTAATTTATATGCATTCTCTGTTATGCTTTATACAGTTAAAGTAGGCATCGGAGGCTTTAGTATGGGTGCAGCGACTGCGCTATACTCTGGGGCCTGCTTCTCGGTGGGGAAGTATGCAAATGGCAACCCGTTTACATCTAATTTGAGTGCAGTTGTTGGATTAAGCGGCTGGCTTCCTTGTGCAAAGTTCGGCTTCTTCTGCTTGGCTCTTCTCTCATTATTTTTCTGTTCTATGTCAAATTCTTTTCTGATTACATTTTGTTCTTATATTTCAGGAGATGGGGTAAAGAACTCGAAGGAGTGGATGGAGCAGCTGACCGTGCAGCAGCCCTGCCCATTTTGCTATGTCATGGAAAAGGTAACTACTGAATTACCTGTTCGGTCTCACTTGCCAGGGATTGGAGTTCTACTGGCTTATTTTTGTTGTTTGGTCATTGCTAGCTGATGATGTGGTCTCTCACAAATACGGCGAGAAGTCATCTCATGCGTTGAGCTCACTTGGATTCAAAGACGTAACATTCAAATCGTACAGTGGGTATGTTTGCTGCAGATGCATTAATCCGAAGAACACTAATCAAACATCCGAAGCATTTACTAACGATTCTGGATTTCTTTGAATCATACAGACTTGGGCACTACACAATCCCTCAAGAGATGGATGAGGTCTGCGCCTGGCTATCGTCCAAATTGGGGCTCGACACCAGCTCCTCATCACTAAAGTGACATGGGAAATGAGAGGCTGGAAAGAGGGAGGGTCAACAACCTGATGAAACAAACCAGTGGAGCCAAAAGTTCTAGACATGTAAGGCTACCCTTTGGTGGTTCACATTATTATTGTATTGTGAGCAATGAGAAACTTGGGTTACTCTGCACTCTTTACAATCATGAGCTTGATGTAATTTATTATCCACTTTTGGATACATATATTCTCTATGGTATTTTGACAACCATAATGTACAATTGAATCGATTGGTGTACTTTCTTTTGGATAGAGTATAATAGAACATGTATGAATGGCATGGACCATTCTGTTCAATATTTTGACCGGATTTGAAGTCGCTTGTTTTGGATCGAAGTTAGGTCGGATTCATCTGTATCATTATAGATTTGCACTTGTATAGCCAAAACTAGCATCGTGTTCTTACATTTCATCAACTTAGGAGCACATCGAATCAGTGTTCTTCACTAAGACAAATTAAATCTACTAACATATCAACATCAAACCGCTAACCGAAATACGTATATCCAATACTTCACGTCAATTGAATTAGGTTGGTCCCCAGATTTAGTTGTTTCTGTTAACCCTACAAACAAGACAATTGCATTGATGAAGATAATACCACATTGACTTCTGAATCAATTTCAAGAATTCATTTCCTCCAACTAGGAAAGTGCCAGTACAAGGCATGAATACAATTACAGATCAAAGCAGAAAGTCTGTAGCAGCAATCTGTGGCACAATCCAGAGTGGAGTGGAAGCCGTATGACAATCAAGTGGTAAACCTAACAATGGTACAACAAAAACCAGAAGCAAAAGAAAAAATGCAAGCCAACAGAAAAGCACTAACCCAAGTTTTGTGACTTGTGAGGCTCTCCTTCCTTGCAGCCTTTATACAGGATTGGCAAGGGAAAAAGCAAGCAAATTGAGGATCCTATATCTGTGCATCCTACGCATGAGTTCGTGTCTTGGGGGATTCTGCAGCAGTGAATTTGAAAAGGATAAAAAGGAGGCATATTCCCCTTCTTTTGTATACAACCCTCAATGAGACAGCTTTTCTTCTTCTGTGGGAGTTCTCTCTTTGACAAACAACACTTCTATAGCTCCACTGCTGGGAGACAAAAGGTGCCTCTCTTGATCGGTATCATCGATTTCCATTTGTTCGCAGGGTGGGGTGCCAGTTGTCACGGACTCGCTTCCATCTTCTGTATTAAAAGCAATTTCATCATAGGTTTCAGAGTAAATTATGACAAATGGATGTAAGATCAAAGATATAAGTCGGAAGGAACTGCAGTACTTACCCAAGTCATGGTGTTCAGGTAGCGGTTTCACTGAAGTTACTTGAAGGCTTTCAGGAAGCAAACAACTGCACAGAGAACCTGCAGGATTTCAAAACACACAACCGTAGAAATGAGAACATTTTTCTAATTCATGTCAAACAAAATACAAGACAACTACTGCTGAATGGTAATTGAATGTCTCAATGATAATTAGCTTTTGCATACCTAGGCGGGCGAGGCGATTTACAAAACCTGGGATTCTCTTTCCTGTCAATCTGGAGCTTAGATCATCTGTGAAATGGTTGCAGTTCTTGGAGATTAGGTGATACGTGTCTCCATGATACTCGGAAGCCATACCCTCTATGAATGTCCTGAACTCGGTAGGCGGCATCTTTATGGTCCCCAATGGGATGGAACATCTGTAAATGAAACCGGGGCATTCTCTTGGCTCGACTTCGAAAACTCCGCTGACTGGGAAGTCATGAGCTCCAAATCCATACTCCTTCCCGTGAACTGTTAACATAATACATATATGCAAAATCGGGCAAGCGATTCGAATCAAAATACTCAGAGAAAGACGTTACGTTATAGTTATAGTTAGAGTTTGCCAATTTGTCAAATTGTAGGAATCTCCACACAAAATCTACACCAACTTCCATACAATTCATGCAAGGATCATAACATCTTCTTCCATAAATGCACTCTCATGTTCTAGTCGAAATCCTATGCTAGAAACAGAAAGTCAAACACCATTAAGCGACTGAAAATGAAAGCAGGCTAACTGAACTGAAGCAAAGAATGATCAAAGGAATCACAAAGGTGGTCTAAATCAAAGATGCTATGCTATTCCCGTGAAAGGAAGTCACTCCACAAGCTGCAAACAGTGAAAAGAGAAAGAAAGAATCATCAAATCCAACTTCGTAAAGCTAACAGCTTTCCCTGACTTCAAATTTCCACACAAAAAGATCGTCTCCCCATTATCAGGCCACACAATTTGACATGGTAAATTCTTCAAAGATACCCCTAGAATCCAATCGCATTCTTCCCATTTTCAAGAGCATCTACGCAGAAATTATCAAATCTGGAATTGGAGGCAGTTGAAAGATTCTTATTCAAACAAATCCAACCATGGCAAAAACCCAAAACCCTCCACATAAGAGGAATTAAACCCAAGAAGCAGCTCTCTCGAAAACAAGAACCCAGAAAAGGAAAGGAAAGAAGGGAAGGCCAGACCTTCAATGCCGGAATGGAAAATCCCGAATCCGAACCAGTAGGTGTAATTGTTGACAGGGGTGAGATCGTAGACATTCAGCGTCACGAGGGTTTCAGCGCTATCGTTCGAATTCTCCTTCTCGGAGCCCGAGATGGTTTCAGACCCCATTCGCGAAAGCTGCAACAGATACGAATTACAGAGCCAGCGGGAGCAAGCAAAGCTTTTTGCCCCTCCCAGATAGAAATCGGAAGCTGGTGCGGTGTGGAGGTTCGGTTCACTCCATGGGAGCAAAGAGGAAGAAGAAAAGACGAGCGAGAGCGAGAGCGAGGTGCTGAGAAAAGAGATCCACCGTCACCACCACCTCCGTCCAGCCAGAAAGGAGGTGAAAATGGAAAGTAACAAACAACGAACTAACCTGAATATATACACTCAAAATAAAATAATTTTTTTGTAATAAACTCATTATTTTTGTCCAGCGCTTTTCTCTCTTTAATAAAATTTTTATTTCTCGATCGCCACTCGCCGAACTTGCAAGGTGCAATTAATTTTTAATTATTGCTTATAGCACCTTCTTAAACAAACAAATAACCTATATTTATTTATATCCAGTGCACACTAATGTGACACTGGTCAACCACCACAGTAGTAAAATGTAATGTGACAACTCGTAATTTTTGTCGCATAAATAACATTTAATTTATCTTATGTATAAAGTATTTGTTCGGATGGAATGGTGTATAATGTCTTAAATGATAGCATTATTAAATACATACAGATCGATGATTTCTAAGTACTATCGCAAGAGTATTCCCATTGCTACTCAAAATTGTTTCACTTGAAATCCATAGTCAGCCAAAGTCGAGCCAACCCATGTTAGCTAAGACACAACTGATTTACAGAATCCACCAACATATAGCAGCAACCTGCTTTGTTTCCATGGGATCATCACATCAGAAACAAAATGCAAGCTTCTCCATGACAATCACAGCTGATGAACTGAAGCAAATGCACTTGCGAGAATGAAAACACAAATCACTTCATTGAATGCAAGCTTCTCCATGACAATCACAGCTGTTCTGCCACCTGCAAAAGCAGAACAGGAAGAGATTAGGGCTGTAGGCTATCTTGTCATTTACAGAAACGTGTGAAAGAGTGAGGAGAAGGTCGGGGTTTGCACTTACATCTCGAACATCCCGACTTAAAAGAAACAACAACATTCACAACGAGTCTGGAGTCCTTCGCTGCCTCCTAATCCGCTCGCTTTGCCTTAGAGTCGGGGGCACTCCATCAGAGTCTGGTGAACTCCGCTGCCTTCGAATCCGCTCGCTTTGCCTGGAGGGTACTGACGCTCCATCCGAGTCATCATTGTTGTTGTGCTCCTCTTCCCCGGAAGAAGATCCAGTCTCTTCATCATTGCGAAGCTCCCCCCAACGATCTGCACTAGTAGCAGTCGACCGCCTTCCAGCACTTGATGACCCTCTACTCCTTGACCCACTGACTATGACCCCCGGTCTGAAAACCCTAATGAGGAAGTAGAAGGTAAGGAAACTGCCATCTTCAATGGGCGGCATCATTATGTCGGTGCTGTCATCGTCGAGCCCCACCCTATCTTCACCAAACGAGGCCTGTAGCATGCTCAGCAAGTCCCCCAAATCCCTCTGGCGCTCCATCCGTCTCCAATCCCGCTGCCTCTCGGGGTCGGCCTCCGACGGCCTGACGAGGGGGTGCTCGTGCCTCGCGTGCTTCCTCAAATCAGAATACGTGCCGCTGAATTCACAGGCCTCGCTGGCACAGCTTCTTGATTTCGAGTTCATGAAGCTCCGAGCTGGTTCCAGTACCACCCACGTCTTGATGTGGCCTCGGCATAGGGGGCACATCAGCTGAGGTGGCACCTTGTTGTCACAGCTACTACTACCACTTCCAGCAGAGCTCGGAACAGTTGCTGATTCTGAATTGACTACTACTACCTCTGTTGAGCCCCTAATACTACTCTCTTCAAGCGGTGGTGCTGAGGGCTGCTGCTTGAACGATTTACGGAACTGATCAAAGCAGTTCGAGTGACGATAACTGGTGTCACACATGTACGGCCGACAACCTTTGTCGTGCGATGAGCAAATGAGGAGGATGGCGTTGTGTGGATGCTCCATGCAAACGGGGCACCGGGCATCTTCAAATTCTTGTATGTTTTCATCTGGCTTTGATGAAGACACCTTGGGTGAAGAGAGCTTGGGACGTTTGGAACTGCTTGGGTATGGGGATGTTCTGTACCTATCAAATGACCTAGAACGATCTCTTCTATCCTTCGCCATCGTTCAAACTTCTGATTGATTCTAAATGTAACCCTAAAAGGACCCAGACACCTGATCTTCAACTGCAGCAGCATAGAAAACAGAAGTTTTAGAAACAAAACAAGGCAAACATATTCGGTCCGAAACAACAGTAACCAAACATCAGCAATCCAATCAATAAGCAGGGCAAACTGGAAGCTAACAACCCATCCATAAAGCCGCTGGCAGCAAGACATAGCAGCACCGAAGTACCAAGAGACCCTACTTCCTAACGAACAAACGGAAACTCAATTCACTCATACGACTAGTACCACTACACCTCATATACAAACCCCAAATCTTCCATTCTTCATCAATCATTTCCATAAAAAATTTACAGCGATAAAACATAGGCACCCCTACGGCTTAACCTCCTACTACAATACCACAATCAACAGCGAAAACACAGTAGAGCCAAAGCGCAGCGCGAAATTGCAATCCAAAACTGGAAAAAAAACCCTCATCACAATCCATTCTAAACACTACCACTAGCTCCCCAATAGCTTTCATTTCTTCACCCCTTCATCATCAAACCCTAAACCGACTCAAACACAGGAAAGCAAAATCAGAGCTTCATCCAGCCATGGAACCCACAACTCCCCCACACACACATGAGCAAATCGAACCCCACAACCAAAATCAGACGAAACAGGTTGAATAGAAAGCAGTATGAACAACAGATCCCAGCCAAAATCAACGGCAACAGAGACGACGACCCAAATCCATTCGATAATTTTTTTACCTACTAACAGCCTTCCAGAATTTGAATTCAGCTGAAACCAGCCAAATTAAGATCCTTAATTCTCCCTCTCCCCTAATCAACACAAATTACACCCGGCGAGGAAAAGACTAAACCAAAATGGAAAGAGAAAAATAAAAGCTAAGTCCTTCAAAGTAATTCGGATAGTCAGAAGAAGCGAAGATCGGCGAGAACCGTAGAAATCCGATAGTAGTCGCCGGGGAAAAGTGAGCTGAAAGCCGCCGGATTCGGCTTGCAGAGCTGCCTGTGCTAGGGCTCCCTTTCAGCTCCTCTCTCTCTCGGAGAAAATTTCCGGGGGACGAATGGAAGAGAGAGAAAGGGAGAGGCGACGAACGAGATTTATATGAACGCAGGCGGTGACACGAATGTAGTGGGCCCCACCAGAGCTGACGTGGAGAAAAGGACCTTCGCGGATTTATTCTTTGAGAAAAAATAATAAATGAGGTGGCGTTTCAAATTTAATTTGGGCAGAGTCGGCGCCGTTTCGGGGCGGCACCGTAATAGAAAAATGTTTTACCGCCATAACAATTTTGGATTATGTTATGTAACAAGGTAAAAATCGGAATTCAAATTTTATAAAAGTGGGTGGGTTGATTTGGCGGATGTTTTAACTTTCTGGGTACCTTTCCCAAGCGTGTGCACGTGAACTTTTTATCTCAATAATTAATAGATGAAGATAAAGCAATTTCATTTGATTATATAAAGCAAATGAATTGGATCGTAAATCGACGCCTATCATAATAGGAGAGTGAAAAAAAGAGGATAGGTCGAGAGAGTCATCGCGTCTCAATTCAGTTGGCTCGAGATTATTATATCATGAGATTTATTTAAGTCACATATCTCCTATGCAACGTAGCGTTCTTCTTCTTCTTGTGAGTCTCCTCTGTAAATATCCGTATATTTTCCTTTTTTTGTATTGAGTATAATAATGTTCATTTATTTATGAAAATGACCTCATACAATGCACCTTGAGTTTTAAATCAAGACTCGGTAACTAGTTACACTAAGAAGCCACTCACCACTCATCTATTTTTAATCGTGTAAATAGGAAATCTATTATTTTCGAATTATGGCATACCCAAATAACTCACGCCGTATTTTTCTTCAACGGATTCGGTTCGACCCGCGGTTCAACAATCTACTTGACTACCCCTCTACCCCGCTTTACAAACGTGTATATGATCATCCATCCCGGGCTTTACCCATACTTGCTCTACTAGTACAGTAGTACTATCAAATGTTGTCTAATGGGCCATAAACTGTGTCCGTTCTCAGCCCGGACATTATAATCCGGCCCGTTTTTCAAGCATGGGCCGAACTTTGCTTTTCTCTTCTTTTTTTGGGCCTCAAAATTATAGAGCATTTTCAACGCGAACCAACGTGGCCGCCATAAAATAAAATCCCACTCCCACACTCAGCGGGCCCCATCGAATTCCTCGACAGACAGAATCCACACGGCCACAATTTTAAAAGGCACAAAATCTTCCACATAATTAAATGATAAACATGCTCTGATATTAACTTGTGTGATTGATTACCAAACACCCAAAGGACAAATCATTTGTGGGAAATTTTCTTTTGCACGAATACAAACAAAAAAACCAAATTAGGGGAAGAATCAACATGTAATAAATTCGGCAAAAGAATCACTTGATTCGATTAATTTCTCGTTATATATGTAAACAAATATGATAGCTTGTGATCACGAAATACATTACTTTTACTTTTTTCTCTCTTTTTTACTTTTACCTTTCGCTTATCCGCATCATTCTAATTAACTGCTCAACGCCATCATAGTTTCTAGAAGAAACATTTCCCACGAGTGCATAGCAAAATTCAATTTGAAGATAATTAATACTAATAAAGACTAATCCAAAAACGTAACATTATTCCTTCACGCAACCAAATATGTCGATTTTCGATCACAAAACATTTCATCCCCTACCTTTTTCGTTTCCTCCTATCTCCCACTCATTGTCCGCATTGTTATTATTAATCCTAATCAAGTGCGATTATATATATGGAATACAAAACTTTTACGTTTAGTCATTCTTTCAAATCCGATAATATATATTCTGTGATATCAACTTACTTCCAATCCAACAAATCATTTCCACCAAAATGAGAATCACAGGAAGAATGCCTATGCAATAAACATAGTAAGACAATAACTTGATGCGTTCAAGTTTCTGTTTACGTAATCAAATCCTTTAGCTTGCGGTAAAAGAAAGTATGTAACTTATACATTTTCATCCACTCCCTTTATGCCTCCCACATTGTCATAAATAACTACTCAATAGTCAAAACAATCACATTTCTCAGGTAAATATTTTCCACGAACACACAACAAAATCCATATCTCAACAATAAATACAGACGAAAGATAACAAAAAAAAACCTGCAAGATTCTGTCCTTCACGCAATCAAATACGTCATCTTTCGATCACAAAACAAATCATTCTCCCCTCCTTTTCCTCCCCCTTTACTCTCTCTCTCTCTCTCTGAGACAACGCATTCGCTTCATCCTGATTAATTAACCAATCAACATGATTCTCCGACCTTACAAGGAATGAACTTTTCACTTTTCGATCACCCCTAGCGATAATTTATCTCATTGTCAAGCTCTAATCAAATCAACTCGATGTGTGATATTGATTTCAATCAAGGCTCACATTAATCAATTTGGAAAAGATGTTTGGTGGTGACCGTGTGAAGGATACACCCCTCCTAATCCTAACAAAATCAAATCAAATTTAAATAAACCCCAAAATCAAAGGTCTAAATCCGAATGCCGGGTGGTAGCAGAGAAGTACTTATCTTATAATCTGAGTGCTTCCTCCCTCCCTCCTTCGCTTGCTTTCCATGGTTCATCTCCTTCCTCCTTTCTTTATTCCACAGTCCTTTTCCCTCCACCATTCTCTCTTTTTGTTTTCATTTCCAGAAAACTATTAAAGAAACCCACTCGTGTCCTATAATTCGGCCACCGCAGGGCACCTTACCCTACAGAGAAAGGGCCCCAGGGTCTGTTGGTTGGCCCGTCTTTTCTCTCTTTTTGTTCCATTTCTCCTTCTACTTACTCTGTATCCCTCTCTGAAGTCTCCACTTTTTCTTCGTCCCTTCCTTTCCGCTCTCTGCATTTTCCTCCTTTATCACCCCTTTGTCCCCTTCTCCTACCGCCGATTGCCCACCGACAGCTTTTTCCCACTGCCCTCCTCTTATAAACCCTTTGCTTCTCACTTACCCCTTCAAAGCGTGCATCTTTCTCTTTCTCTGTCTCTGTACTACTACTCTGTTTTTCCGATCCTCTGTTTTCCCACTCCTCTGTTTTTTTTTCTCTTCTTCCCATGGCGTTTGGATGTATACCCAATTTCCTAACCAGCCGTCGCCACCGGGGGAAGCCCAATGGGGACCGGATTGCGGCTGTTTCCGACGAATCCTGCAGCGGGGGAGAGAAGGAAGGGAAAGGAAGGGGTAATTTTGATGATTGTTCTCCAGCGAGGTACAGCTGGGAAGAGATCGAGAATCTGACCCGGAATTTCGCGTGTTTGATCGGATCCGGTGGGTTCAGCAACGTATACTTGGCTGCCGGTCCGGCGGCGGTGAAAGTGAGCTGTTCCGGGGACTATCTCAGCCCGATGTTCAATCAGGAGCTCGACATCCTCCTCCGCCTTCACCACCGGCGCATCGTCAAGCTTCTGGGCTTCTCCGACGATAAAGGTTCGTTCTTTTTCCGAATTTCGTATAAGTGGGTTTCTCAATTCTCACGCAAACTGACTGAAAGTGAAACCCTTTTTGGTTTTTTAGGTGGCGCGCTGGTGATGGAGTACGTCCCGAACGGAACTTTGCAAGAGAGGCTCCACGGGAGCGGCCGGCGCCGGCCGCTCCCGTGGAGCAGAAGGATGGCGATTGCGTACCAACTCGCCGAAGCAATCGATTACCTCCACTCCAACGTCGGTGACATCCCAATCGTCCACGGCGACATCAAGGCGTCCAACGTCTTGCTCGACGCCGACGAAAGCTGCAAGCTTTGCGATTTCGGGTCGGCGAAAATGGGATTCTCCTCCGCCGTCGCGGCGGTGGGCGGAGGGCAGAGGAGGAAGAAAATGGTGATGATGGGCTCGCTGGGTTACTCTGACCCGCATTATCTCCGTACTGGTTTGGCTTCCAAGAAGAACGACATCTACAGCTTTGGGGTCATCGTCTTGGAGCTTCTGACGGGGCGGGAGGCGTTCTCCGAGGAGAAAGGGGAGGTTCTGGCGGCGGTAATTAGGGAGCGCGGGGATGAATTTGCGGCGGATTTGGCGGGATTGGTGGATCCGAAATTGGGAGGCGAGTTTGATTTGGGGGAAGTGGAGGCCATGTTCGAGATCGCGAGGAGATGTGTTAGGCTGGCGGTGAGCGAGCGGCCGTCGGCGGGGGAAATCGTGGAGAGGATGAAGGCGGATGTGGCGTCGGCGATTGTGTGGGAGGAGGAGGTGAAGAAGAGGTTTGGAAGAGAGGGATTGGTGTAGATTTGGTGCGATACTCTGTTTTGCTGGGATTATACACTGTTTTTTTGGGATTATTCACATGATTGACAATCCATGTATAGATTCAAACTCAACATAAAGGAAGGAAAGAAAGAGGAGGGTTAGGGCTTGCTATTACTATTAGGGATTGGAATAGGATGTAGTGAAAGATTTGCCTGTGTTTGCTTCCTTTCGATTCGATTGAGAAGTCAGATTGTTTGTTACTTTTCATTATCTTACAGGTTTCTAATTTTCAATTTGTTATTCTGTCATTTGAAACTGATCGTTGAAACTTACCGAGTGAAGAGAATATGTATCCAAAGTAAGTGAGTAAGTAACTACAATTGGTTGACATGAGATGGTAAAATCGAAGCAAGGATTGAACAATTGAGACTAACGGTTCAGATTACGATACTAATGCTAGTAATGCATCATCGAAACTTGTTTAAAAGCTGTTACGGTACTACGATGAAGGAAACAATTAATCGGTTGTCAATAGGTTGTACAAATTTCAAAATGTACATTATTTTAGACATTAAAAGAGCTAGAAAGGTAGCATGTTAGACACGCGTGATTCAACATATAAGAACAAAACACATAAGAACAAACCGATACAATGTCACAAACACGACGTACAAATTTCGACTTGTACTTTATTCTATGCATGAAAGGAAGGGAGGATGCCTGGCACCTACCCATTATCCCATACCATGATTTGTACCTCTGTAAAGTTGCATTCTAGGGTTTGCAAAATGAACTCAAAAAGTCCAACCACGAGATGGGTTTCTCATCATGTTTGTTTGACAATCAAACTCCATGCGAAGAATAGGTTCAGAGTTCAGACGGATGGTGATTGGAGAACAACTAATACAATAAGAAGTCAAAGCTGATCAATACAAGTCTTTCCCTTTGGTGAATACCTAGAGTTGAAACCATCATCAATAGGCAAGAATGTAATAGTAGTTTAAGATGACTGATGTTCTAAGGCAAGTCTATGACTTTACTTCCTTATTAATAGTCTAAACATTCATTTTATAAAAGCCAATGAATGCATTCAGGTGAATTCGATATGAAAATCTCACTAGAATGATTTCAACATCTTAATTATCTGAAATAAACTGTATCGACTCTTTGTTACAAACGAGTTATAATCCGAAAGCGAAACGAAACACATATGTATTTGGCTCGATTACATCGAAAGCCATCCAACTCCCAACCTGGTTCATACAAAAAATTCTCTCCTTTAGGTTACAATCCGAAGATTTGAGGCTAATTCATTTCCCAACTTTCTTATACCCACTAGATGATCAGCCGGTCAAATGTTGCTGTTTCACAAAAAGGTTAGGAGAACAAAGTCCAATACCTTTTGCCTCCTTAAACTGATGCCTTGACTTAGTTGGAACAGAGTAACTGCCGGCCTCGTAGTTAAAGCCTTAAAGGGCGTGGAGTACTCAGCCGGCCATGCCACATAATCGGCACATATTTTGCTGGCTCCCCACTGCCCTAAAGTCAACTACGGGTTAGGATATGAATATCCCTTAGCGCCTCGAAGGAATATTTGATAAGAAGAAGTAAATGATAGCTTTACCCAATGCCAGAAAACCTAGAAAGATGCAATCTTTATGGAGGGAAAGAGACAACTCGAGATGATGAATGAAACGGGGGGAAAAAAAACAGAGCAAGGAGAAGAAGAACAACAGCAACAACAGCCCAAAAGAAGGACGGAGTCCTATCGTGGAAGTCACGTGTAAAAATTATGGTGGAGGTTGTTAACTTCATTCCATACAGCATGGAGCACACCTTGGGAGGTGTCGCGTAGGCACAAATCATGAAGGGGAATGTGCCCTTCATGTGCTATTTCTGTCAATGGCGGAGGTGGGACAATGACAGAGAGAGAGAGAGACAGAGAGAGAGACAGAGTGCGTTCTGGTGCTGGTGTGTTGTTTGTGCTGTGAAGTGATGATGAGCCGTTGTAGGGTAGGAGGCTTTATATGGTGGTTTTGATGATTGGCTCCTCCAAATAGTTTGCCAAGTACATTGCCTTTGTCATTGCTTTCACATGGTTGACAAATCCATCTGTCGATCCAACGCAACAAGGAATTCTGCTAGGTTGTGATGGGTTAGGGTCCGCAGCGGATTGACATCGATTGAATTGTGCAATTCCACGGAACAAGTTGTTTTATGCATATGATGATATTTTGATAACTAACCTCTCGACACTAATGTGCAATGGATGAGATTGTTCACCACCAAAATGGTAGACAGACGAATCGGGTTGGGATTAGCGAGGTTGGTACCAATGAATAGCAGAATACACACAATGATATTTTTGTAAAACAGGTGACGTGAACATCTTACGACTTGCACTACAGGTTACATAATCCGAAAAACGTCGACTCCCCACTCTCCAAAGTCCAAACCCATCAACATGCTAACGAGATTAATATTGTAGGTGCTACTTTACACCACATAGAAACTAGTGGTAGACAGTAGACATAGTCACATGATTGCTGAAGCTGGATTATGAAAACAAGGAAATGAATTCCCCCATTCGTCAGTTTTGTCATCTGGCTTATGATCATTGCCATCCCCTTTTTTGACAATAAATTCACATGATTGAATAAGTACAAATAGTCGAGGATTCCAGCAGGACCCCAAATCATTAACTCTATGATGGTTGGTTGATTTGTAGCAGCTACAAGTTTGCATAAACACCATGGAATGATTGACAATGACACTGATTAGATCTGCCAATCAAATCCCACTTCCCCCCATTACCAATCTCACCAATACATGTACTACCCACTTCAAAGCCACAGAAAACCATTTCTGTTCCTAACCTTATCAACTGTAGCCCTTACCAAGACAGTTCAAGCATCGCTGGACTCTGCAAGCAAAACAGAGTACAATTCTGCCTTTTAATTGCATCGCATTGTTTAAAAGGGTCGATCTAAAAATTTGGTTGGCGGTTGAATGACTGACCTGTTGCCGTCGCAGGTAGGGCAGAGGCAAGGATTCATGGCGACAGGGTCGAACAGAGGCGACCATTCTATGGTGGCATTTCCGCCGCACAGTTTGCAGATGTAGAACCCTTTCCCCCGGCAAACCCCACATGGCAAAGCAACTTTTTTCTGGCGGGTGACGAACGAAAATACAAAACCCATATCTCAGAATTTGAAAATGGCACAGCATCAAAAGGGCTGTGGAAACGAAGTTGTTATGTTGAAAGTTGTTCGGTTTTTACCCGCTTGAGTTCGGTGGCGCGGCGGAGAGCGTTGACGGTGAGGGTGGAAGCGACGTTAACAGCCACCAATCCGCCGAAGACGAAAGCGGCGGTGGTCACCAATGGCCGAATTTGCTTGGGGATCATGGTGTCAGCGTTTCAGGTCGGGTTGGGTTGAGCGAGACTCTAATGGGAATTTCGTCGAACAGTTGGTGTGCGTTGCAGACGGGGATCGTCGTCTTGCACAAGCTAGTTACTTCCGTGTGGGTCGAAAGACTGATCTATCTTTGACGAATGGGTCAAGACTCAAGAGTCAAGACTCGAGAAGCATTTCTATACTCTCTTTCTGGATCAAGAACCCAGAAAGTCATTTGCAGGCCGAAAATATCACGGGAAGCCCAATCTAGGACAGGCCCGTTTTGGAAATCACGGGATGGAATGGCGAGGATCGTATTGGAAATCAAATTAGTATCGGTGATAGTTAAAATTGATGCAGTGACTCGGCCTTCAAATTTCATTAGTTATCAATCCAACGACGTGTTACCGATTTATCGAACAATCAATAAAATAAATCGCACCGAACTAGCGGTTGCCGAGTAACCAATAACCTTAAACACTTTTACTGTCAGAACCTCTCTTTTTGGTTAACGGTTGACCGATAATACCAATTACAAATTAACTCGTAACCGAACGAAATAGCAAACCTTAAAAGCACAATAATTTAGCTTTGTTTAGCAAACTCGAGAGAAAGCATCCTCATATCTGGCCTCTCATTTGGATCTTCGTTTAAACACAAGAAAGCCATGCTGATGGCGAACTTCAATTTATCCTCGACCTGCGGCGGGGGAGGCAATAGTCGTGGATCCAGCATCTCGTTCATCTCAATCTCCGTCTTCATCGAGATCGCATCGAACAACTCGTTCGGATGACTCCCTTTTATCACCTCCAGCACGACCACTCCAAAACTGTACACATCGCTCTTCTCCGTCACTTTCTGCGTGTACGCAAACTCTGCCAACAACACGAGTTATTATTACCAGGCCGTCTAACATCGTCGTGTAGTCAAATCGAGATGATATCATAGTCCTATATACATACATACATACCTGGTGCGATATAACCATAGGTTCCTGCAACCGCGGTCCAATTCGAGGAATCCAATTTCAGAAGCTTGGCCGTCCCGAAATCGGAGACATGGGCTTCGTACTCCGAATCGAGGAGCACGTTGCTGCTCGACAAGTCTCTGTGGACGATCGGAGGGGTGCACTCATGGTGGATGTAAGCCAAGGCATCGGCCACGCCTCTTACGACGTTGTAACGCTTCTTCCAATCGAATTCCATGGCGGCTTCGTCGTGGCTCAGGACCGACGCCAGGCTGCCTCTCTGAACGTACTCGTAGACGAGGAACGAGTGGCGAGGGTGGGCGCAGAAGCCATGGAACTTGACGATGTTGCGGTGCCTGATCTCCTTCAACGCGCCGATCTCGTTGCGGAATTCCTTCCGATCGCCGTCGTCAAGCTCGCTTCTTTCTCTGCCGGTTTCGTGCTGGAACTTGAATTTCTTCACGGCGACGGTGGTTCCTGAAGACAGCTCCGCCTTGTAGACGGTCCCGAATCGTCCTTCTCCGATACAGTGCGCCTCGCTGAAGTTCCCCGTGGCTTTGATGATTTCCTCGTAGAACAACTTCCCGTCGGCGATCGAAGCGAACAACAACAGCATCGAGGAATCCTCCTCTGTTTTCCCCTGTTTTCGTCCCTCCCCTGTTCCGCGCTTCCACATCGCCGCCGCGCCGCAGCAAATCACAGCTACTCCTAGCGCCGGGAGGAGCAAGGCGATGAGGAGAATCTTGATCTTCTTCGTGCGAGAGCCAGTGCTGCACTGCGGGAAGGAAGTGGGAGCTCCATGGCTGCGGCAGAGTCGTTCGTTCCCGCCAAGCTTGGCTTCTTCAAAAACAACGCTATCAGGAACTGGTCCATGGAGATTGTTGTTTGATAGATCGACGTTTTTCAGCGCATGGAGTTCGATTAGAGTCGCCGGGATTTCTCCGGTCAGCTGGTTGCCGGAGAGGTTGAGATCTTCTAAGTCCACGAGTTTGGAGAATTCCCGAGGGATCTCTCCGGAAAACGAATTGTGGCTGAAGTCTAGCTGCGACAGGTGCTCCAGATCCCCAATATCAGCAGGGATTTTCCCGCCGAATTCGTTCCTGCTCAAATTCAAGTAGAACAGATTTACCAGTTTCCCTGTTTCCATGGGGATTTCGTCACCGAGTCTGTTCGATGACAGGTCGAGATACCGGATACCGGGCATTGTTCCGATCTCCGGAGGTACGGAGCCGGAGAGCTGGTTCCCGGAAAGAATCAGCGTCGTTAGGGGAAGGGAATCGACGATCTCGACCGGAATTCCGCCGACTAAGTTGTTCGAGGAGAGATCGAGGGCTTGCAAGCGAGTTGCCTTTCCGAGCTCCGGCGGGATCACGCCGGTGACATTGTTCCCTGCAATTTTGAACGTGGTGAGCTGTGGACAGTTGCCCCAATTGGCTGAAATTTCACCGTCGAATTCGTTGTTGCTGAGATCGATTAGCTCGAGCTTCGGATAGATGCCAAAAATGGCGGAGATGTTTCCTCGGAGACGATTCCCTTGAAACACGACTCTTTCCAAGCTGGAGCAGTTCCTCAGGCTCGCTGGGATTTGACCGGAGAGGAGATTCCCGTTGACTCCAATTCTGCGAAGGGACCCACACAAATTCGGAGGAATCGAACCGGTCAACTGGTTATCGAATACCTGGAGTTCGATAAGCATCGACAAGTTGTCGATCCTCGGAGGGATCGGACCGGTTAACCGATTACCGGAAAGGAACAACAGTTTCAAATTGACGAGTCGGTCAAAGGAGGAAGGTATCGAACCGTTGAGTCGGTTCCTGCTCAAATCCAACTCAACCAGGCTGTTGAGGTTTCCTAGCTCCGCCGGAATCGAGCCGGAAAGCTGGTTTCCGTAGAGGTGAAGCATGACGAGACTCGACGACAGACCGCCAAGGGACGGTGGAATCCGGTCCGAGAAGCGGTTTGAGTGAAGGCTCAGATTCCGAAGCGAGGCCAGGTTCCCGAAACTCGAAGGAATCGGACCCGAAAGCCGGTTCTCGAAAGCGTAGAACAGGGCGAGATTCCGCAAACCACCGAAACTGTGCGGAATCGGACCGGTCAGGTTATTCGTGTCGATATAGAACTCGACCAGACCGGACATATTCCCGATCTCGTCCGGGAGGCGGCCCGAGATGGAATTGTCGTAGAGGTAAAGAAAAGCCAGGCCGGTCAGGTTCCCAATCGAAGCCGGGAGCGGACCGTCCAGCCGGTTGCTGGACAGGGCGAGCTCACGCAGGTTAACCAGCCGGCCGATCTCGCCCGGAACGGGTCCGACCAGCTGGTTCTCGACGAGGTGGAGGGTCTCGAGGTTCGCGAGCCGGCCGATCTCGGGCGGGATCGTCCCGTTGAGCCGGTTCGCGGACAGATCGAGGTAGACCAGGCGCGAGAGGACACCGAGTCGAGACGGGATCGAGCCCCAGAGCCGGTTCTGATAGAGGTCGATGTAGGCGAGCTTGGGGAGACGGGAGAAACGGAACCGGTCGAGAGTACCCTCGATGCCCGAGCCGGTCAGGTTCAACCGGTGAACCCGCCCGGCTCGGTTGCAGTGGACTCCGTACCAGGCGGCGGTGGTGGTGCTGCAGGGGGAGGAAAATGGAGCCCAGGTTTTCATCAGGGGATGGGTTTTGCTGAGACTGGCTTTCCATTCCAGCAAAGCCTCTGCTTCTCGCCGCGCAGTCGACGACGATGAGGAGGCGGTGGCGGAAGGAAGAAGCAGAAGGATGGCCTGCAGAATCACTAGTACTGAATGTGAAATGGAAGAAGCAGAAGAAGAAACAGGGGATTCATGATTTGGAGCCATTTTGATTGGTGGGTTTTGTTGAATCGTGCGGTGCTCTGCATATTGTAAAGCTTTGATTTTTATAAACAGGGTAGTGGTGAATGTTATCCAAGTATGTTTGTGTGGTGTGGGATTCGGTCGTTTGCTGATCATTTGTCTGTGTGTTGGTTGCAGAAGTCAAAGTCGGTCTTCTTCATGAAGAGTAGGGGTTGGGGTTTTGGATCTTGTATTGTTGTTGTTATTGTTAATAAACGGTATATGATTCATGATTGAACCTCTTCCAACAACTCGAGTTATTGGGATCAACTGGTTCTTGATATGGTATCAGAGCCTTCTGTGACCGTGAGGTCTTCTATTTGAATCCCGGTGACCCCTATCTGTTTCCGTTTTCGTTAAGCACACGGTGTCCGGACCTGTGCCTGTCCAAACTCCAAGCCTATTTGAATGACTTGAGTTTGAAGAGGGTGTTAATAAACGATATATGATCCACGATTGAACCTCTCCCAACAACTCGAGTTATTTTGATCAACTGGTTCTTGATAGTTATTCGACTCAAACGGACGGCAATCAGTGTTCGTATCATAGAAACGCCGGTCTTCTTCATTACCTAAAACTGACGGCACTCAGTGTGCCCTTTTAGAGCCACAACTCTAATAGACCAAAAGACAAGGAATTGGAAGCTTTTCGAGCAGTAGATTTGGAAGTGACAGTGATGTGAGCACCGTTGGAAGTGAAGTGATACTTCTGTATGTATACGCAGTCAACGGGGCAACTATATATCTCACTAGGCAAGCACATATTTTACGTCGTTGAATCGGGAGGTTTCCATTAGTATAATTTTGTCCGCTTTGAGTGAAATATGTATGGAACTACTTTTGGGTTCCTTCGGCCTGGTGCTAATGAAGATTGGTTGGTAGTTAGTCCTTGTATAAGTAAGAATCGTTTACTTTGTATTCATGACGTGGTAATCTCTAAATAATGATCACGAACTTCATGTCATATTTTTCAACGATTATTTTAATTTGTCAGATACCTTAATTCGATAAACTCTTTGACACCTTTTTTCATTGTACACGTAAGTAGATAGATACTTTTGCCACCCCTAATTTTGTCGGGGTTAGTTTGGAGGTCCAAGTTGTGGGAGGGTTCATCGATCCTCAATATTGTTTACAGGTCCAAGTCCACAAGTACAGGTCCAAGTCCATAAGTCCTTGCTGGTGCATGTAGCCTGGAGGTAAGGGGTAGGCAATGATCTGATACATACTAAATAAATCGTACCACGAATATGGATCGAATGAGTTATTTCAATCATGATCATATGAGTTATTTTAAGTATGAAGAAAGAAAAAAACGATCGAAAATTAATTGGGCAGGACCAAATCGAATCAAATGAACCAAATATACTTTTATTCATCCTTTTGATAAATAATTCTATATTGGATCTACCGATGTCCACCTCTACATCTAGGACCATCTGTCCATCCATCTTTGGAGAACATGTTTCCCAATCAAAGGATGCAATGGGCATTGATTCGGTCTAAAACCAAATCAAATCGAGAAAAGACAAGATCAAAAGAAAAGACAAGATCAAAATCAAAGGAAAATCGAGGATAAAACTAAATCAAAAACATATTTGGTTCGGTCCAAATTTAAATCCAATCTATTTTTTTTTTTCATACTTAAAATAATTTGTAAAATAAAAAACACATTCAATATGATTCCGTCCAAAAATTGATTCGATACAATTCGATTCGATATAAGACAGAATCCTTTCCCATCCCCAGATGAAAGTAAATCGGGATTGAAAGCGCACATGTGCTAGTTACATACAACGAACGGTCTTGGATCTGTACACCTTTTAGCACCAGGCACTAAGCAGCCCACCCATGGTTTTGGTGCAGAATCTCAGGTGAACCCACTAACTAAACCACTGGCTTCCTTCCTTCCTGGCCTAAAACCAGATAAGCAGCACAGACAAACCTTTAAAAGCAAACTACCTGAGCTAAATCTGTCAAAACAAACATCATCCCATCTCATAGACAATCAATCACAACTGAAATAAAATGATTTTTTCAAGCAAGTAAAAGAACCATTATCACCTGAATCAAGCTAGACTAGTCTAGCCACACCGAAACAAGATCGAGAACAATATCGAGAATATGTAACCGGTCCAAACGAAGCAATCTACTCATATTAAAATTTTCGATTAAGACAGACGAGAAATGAAGGAGGATAATAATAATATGCAAGCACAACATATTGTAATACCATGTCCTCATTTTGTTTGCCTCTGCATCATTCCATTGGCTTTTGCTCTGCTGCTGCTGCTGTTGCTGTATATTTCAGAGATGATTATAATGCAAAGCAGCCAGTGGATAAGGGACTACTAGTACTAGATCCCCGTGCCCACCGGCCACCTCCACAGACCTCAGTTTATATTTCAATGTTGATTAAGACATCACAAAGCACTAAGCTGTGCTTAATTAGGTTAATAATACCCATTAGCAGTGACGCATGATAAGAACACGAGAGGCATTAAATATTGTTGGGGGACTCATAATAGTTCAGGTGAATCCAAGATTATGAAGGTTACTTAATATACTAAAGATACAAAGTACTTTTAGAATTGATACCTAGCTAGCACATGTGAGACTTAAACCTGGGGGGCTTTGTTTTTGCCTTTCTTCTCACAAGTCACATTTCAACTTAATATTTAATAAGCCACACAGAGAAAAGAACAGAGTACTTTTTGGGAAGGGGAGCAGCAGAAGACAGAGGAATCAACCGACCAGAACTAGTAACCTTTGTAACCACAACCAAAACAAGCAACTCTTATTGTTGGTATTCAACTGCAAAACCATCAAACTCCCCTCCTGAGAAAACCATTTCCTATATAAACCCCACAACCATGGCTCAGTCATTTCATCAAACTCATCTCAAAACCCAGCAGCAAAGCAAGCAAGTTCATTCAGCATTCAAGTTATTTTACCCTCTTCTCTTCTGTTTTCAAATCTAAATACAAACAATGGCAAAGAATGTGGCTCAATCTCCCCTGGAAACCAGCATGGCTTCACTTGACCAAAGGTTGGCCATGGCCAAGCGTTGCTCTCATGGTATGTAGTTTTACTTTTCCCTCCTTTCTTTAGTGATCATCAGTATCCCCTTTTTTGAGCATGCATAGCAAATTGCTTTTTTTGGTTCCACATGCTGTTCCTGAGATTGGGACTTCTGGGGTTAAGGAGAAAATGCAGCCACCACCCATCATAGAAACACTTAAACCTATATGTTATTGTTATGATGCTTCTTTGTCATGATTTTGAGCTAGGTATACTCTATGTATTGTTTTTTATATGTGCCTACAATGTGATAAGGAAGTGGTCTATGACAATCATAATACCCACATCCCCATTTGGAGCCTTTTTGAATGAATCAATTCAAATCCCCTCACTTTTGGCCCCAAGGAAGAGAGTATCTTATGCATAGAAAGCTTTTGTATGTTTCAGCATCAAAATGGATATAAAGGAAAGGAAAGGAAGGGAAGAAAAGGGGAACTTTGATTATGATGATGGACCTAACCTTAGACCAAGTCATCAAACAAACAACTCCTTTTCCCGATTTTCTTTCTACAATAGAGAGGTTTTTTTAAAGCTTGTAACTTTAGACTCAAAATTGCACATGAAGAAAAGCTATGGAATATGTTCGGTCAAGATTTACTGCTGCTGGATAACCTATAATGAATAAGTTAATTAATAGTAGAATAATTAACTTGCTTTTTGATTATGTTATTGAGTACTAACATTCTTCCCCATGTTTTTGATGGTTTTGCTTTTTACAGAGGGAGTGGTTGCCGGAGCAAAGGCAGCTGTCCTAGCTGGCATTGCTACTGCTATCCCAACTGTAAGTTCCTTCTCTTCATCAAATCTCCGTAAAGAGACTCTCTATGGTTTCTTGACCCCTAGACGACTTAAAACATTCCCCAAACTCTGACAAATTGTGGCCCATGCATGTGGAAATATGCAGCTGACTAGTGCAAGAGTGCTTCCATGGGCAAGAGCTAATCTCAATCACACTGCCCAAGCTCTCATCATCTCCACAGGTTGGCTCACTTTCACCAAAGAAAGAAGTGATTATCTTTATTCTTATCTTATGTTTTGCCTAGTTGTTGATGGAGTTTCATGGTTTGAACGGCAGTTGCTGGAGCAGCCTATTTCATAGTTGCTGACAAGACTGTCCTAGCTACTGCAAGAAAGAACTCACTCAAGCATGCTTCCAACAATTGAAGAAGCATGGATTCTAGTTTCTACTATGACCAATTATGTGAACTTCATCCACTGTTGTTTAAAAATAAGATGAACTTCACTTATGAAACTAAGACATATATGTATTCAGCAATTGGAGTAATCAAACGGGAACTTAGTTCAGTTTACTTACATGGTTTACCAGTAGTCGTTACACGAACACAGCCCATCTTTGAAATGGTGGAACCGATTTCTATCTCTAGCAATGATTTCTCTGTTAAATATCTTCGAAATCAGCTTAGTTGCAGAGTGGCAGTTACCACAAACACGCAGATTCTTCACTATCCGTATGGTAGTCCCTGGCTTTGTACTGATCAACCCAAAAGCAATGGCCAGCTTCTCGCTATGATGGCTCAGAGCCTCTTGTTTCCATTCCTCTTCCATATCATACAACACCTCGGAAGTATCCGGCACAAACCCAGATTTCTCCAACAAATCATCTATCTCATCCACCATCTCATAGATTTCATCGCTCTGAGAATGAGTCTTGTCACCAACTAGAAACTCATGAACAACACTATCCACCTCAATAGAACTACAACCGGGAACTTTCTCCAGTCCTCTATCGTTTATCCTAGTTCTTATTCTCGCCACATCATCCCATTTCCCAGCTTTAGCATAGATATTTGACAGGAGTACGTACGCACCAGTGTTTTCAGGCTCCAACTCGAAAACACGCTTGGCAGCCATTTCGGCCAAATCCACTCGTCCATGAAGCCTACAAGCGCCAAGCAGAGAACCCCATATGGCTCCATCAGGGTTCACTACCATATCATCTATCAGTATCTCTGCTTCATCGAATAGCCCAGCTTTGCCTAGAAGATCTATCATGCAACCATAGTGTTGAAGTTTAGGCGTAAAGTTATAATCTTCTACCATTGAAGTAAAGTACTTCCTTCCAAGTTCTACGAAACCACCATGGTTACAAGCAGATAATATACCAACAAAGGTGATGTCGTCTGGTACAAACCCTTCGTTTGTCATTCTGGAGAAGAGTTCGAGTGCCATGTCAACAAACCCGTGCATGGCTAACCCAGATATCATTGCATTCCAAGAAGCCAAACTTTTAATTTCCATGGAATCAAAGATTCGTTTGGCTGCCATGATATCGCCGCATTTGGCATACATGTCAATAAGGCTTGTCGATAGAGCACTATTTCTAGTCAACTGAAATTTGTTCATGTTCTTGTCTATATGAGCATGGATCCATTTACCGAGAGTTAGAGCACCTGAGTTTGAAACAGCGGGAAGAATGCTTACCAAGGTTACCTCATTAGGGTCAACATTTGATTTGAGCATCCTTCTGAAAATCTCCAGTGCTTCCTTGTAACAGCCCATGTGGTTATACCCACCAATCATAGCGTTCCATGAGACAACACTCTTGGTTTCCATGTTATCAAACATGTTCTTAGCTCTTTCTAGATCTCCGCACTTAGCATACATGTCAACAAGACCATTGGCAAGCCTGAGATTTGATCCTAGCCCATGATCCTCAATCCATGAATGCACCCAATTGCCTAGCTCAAGAGATCCTGAATTCGCACACGCCGAAAGGACAGACAGCATAGTGCTCACGTTCGGGGTAATTCTCATCCTAACCATGCCCTCGAAGAAATCTAGTGCCTCTTCATATAGGTTATTCTGGATATAGCCTGAAATCATAGCATTCCACGACACTACATCTCTAACAGGCATTTCATCGAACAGTTTCCGGGCCTCATCCATAAGCCCACTCGAACCATACCCATTGATCAAAGCAGTATACGAAATCGGATCTCTCTTAGGACTTTTGTCGAACACTGATCTTGCATGACCCAATTCACCATTCTGAGCGTACATATTGATCAGGGAAGTATGCACAAACGGATCGTTCTCAACGCCGAGCTTCAGAACATGTCCATGGATTTGCTTCCCTTCATGTGCATTCCCCAGCTTCGCGCACGACTTCAAAACGAAGGGGAACGTATGGTTATTCGGCTCCAAACCAGCCACCATCATACGGATGTAAAATTCCACGGCCAGAGCAGGGGATTCACTCAGCGCGAATCCCCTGATTACGTGGTTCCAGATTCTCTGATCAGGGTTTTCGACTGTGTCAAAGAGCGACAGAGCATAGGGAAGGTCGCCGAAGGGAGAAACTGCGCAGAACTCAATTAGCTTGGTGAGAGCGAACTGGGTGTTGTTGTGGTGGAGGAGGCCGGTTTTGATGACGAGCGAGTGGATTTGCTTGAGAGTTCGGATGTCTTTGCAGGTGGAGAGAAGAGCGAGAGGCGGGTGGTTTGGGAGGAATTGGGACGGAGGATCTGTGACGGATAGGGAATGGGGAACTACGGTTGATGAAACTGCGAGCGGAGAAGAAGATGAAGAAGAAAACGCCGCCATTGCCATGGCCGGATGGTGGAGGGCGAAACGGATAAGGTCGTTATGTTTTGAAATACCGTTGGATTGGTGGCAGGTTTGAACATAGTATTTTAACCACTTCCTCAGAGCCCCTCCAAACGACGGTTAATATTGAGATTGTGAGAATTTGAACATATAACCCCAAAAACAATGCAATTATAATAGCATGTTATAAATTAATTATAATGTAAATTAAAATCCCTAAAAGCAAACAACATTTCGTGATTTCTGTAGTCTCCAACAGAGATTTCAACGGATAAGGTCAGATGCGGATAGTGCATATATGTTACCATACTTGAAATCATTCGAATTTTACCCATACACACATAAGAATCAGGTAGAAAATCGAAACCATGTTCATACCCATTCGGGTTTCGGATACCCACGGTTATCCATTGATAATAATTTCTCTTTTATAAATCGAACTAACCTGTTAACATTCGCAGATATACTCACGTTGCATGAGTATAAAAGTACGATAATATATCACTAGAACTAAAAAAAAATTAATTAAAAATAACACAATTTCGTGAAAAATATTATATCTATATGCTAAATATCAAATACATTGAGAAAAAACAATAATCATTTCCAAATAAAATACATATGCACGTGTACAGTCGGTGTTGGGTTCGGATTGAACAATGAGATAACCATGCACCATTCATCACCCCGCAATATTTGGATTTGTAGCGTTTCACCCACACCCACCAAAAATCTTTCGAATTTCAGTTTTACCCTACCACCGATCGCGGATATATTTGTCATCCCACTGTTGAAGTTCACAGCATACTCATTTTGATTGGATTCTAACACCAATCTCCATTCCCCAACATGGCTTCACAGATTCTTCTTTCCCTTTGCTGCCTCCTCTTCTCGAGAAGGAGCTTCGAGTCCTTGAAATCCTTGTACCACCCAATGAAAACGCACAACACAGATGGACCTTGCCACTGTCACATTTTGACATGCTAATCGGATTAACGATAGAAAAACTGCTGGATATTCGCTCTGTTTCGAGTCAGTTCGTGTTTTCCAAGTAGTCTGTTAGCAGTAGAGTCAGCCTACTGAAGTTTGTTAGCTATTTGTGGTGGGTTAGTGGAGTTGTTGAATCATGGGCTGTAAATTCTCCCGAGTCTTAGGAGGAGTAACGATTGTAGGGTTTACATGCCAATAAAAAGACTTGGTTTATGAGTAAATAAAAATTGAAGAATTCGGCCCCCAAAAAGACTTGAGCACAAGTTCTGATTTCTGCAGATTTTTTCCTTCTGTTAGTTGGTTCTTTGTTTCTAACAAAAACCGTATCTTGAAATTATTAACCATCGTGGCACTCCGAGTGCTAATTACTCTAGTTGCTTAGGATAATTTTGTAAGTCAGAGCAACACAGAGTGAGATTTGTGGATACGATGAGCCAAGTTTCGTTAGTTGATCTTTTGTCAGGATGAACGACATTTACAAGAAAACCTCTTCAAATATGGGAGGCCAAGATGACCTAGATGCTGTCAGTAACGAGGTTTTTAAAACGGGAGAGAAATGCACACAAGAGATTTAATCGAAGAGTTCTTCCCAAACTCTGTGACGTCATCGAAAAAAGTGTAACATCATCCAGTGTTAAGAAGAAATGACTTTTTTTTATTGATTTGGATAGTTGGATTTCAGTCGAAAGAGTGAAGAGGAGCTCAAGCCGCGAGTCTCTATGTCTGTTTTGAGCCTCCTCGAAGTGACTCTACAAATCTATATCATAAACTATGAGGTTTCACCTTCACTAGCCTTCCTTGATGAGGTTAATCTCAAACACGATTCCATGTGTGAACCTACATCAGTCGAGATGGATAACATCGATGGATAACATCTGCACTGTATTTTTTTCATTGTGTGTGTAAAATGTAAATCCCAAAAAATCATTTCTAATCCAATAGCTCACAACAATTTAACATTATTAGATAAAATTAAATCAAATCTACCCCGAAACCTTCCCCTTCACGTTGCGCGCCTCCTTTCCTATTGTGCTTCTGGACGTGCTCCTGCCTGCACACACAAACGCCTCGCGGACCGGATAGGTCCGTTAGCACTCCGGCGCTCAAGTGAGAACCCTTCTTTCCAGAGAGAGAAGTGGAGAATAGTTCTAGTAGGAGAAGCAAAACTGAGTAAATGAGATTTACCTACTTCACTATTTATACCCGGAGTGAGATCGACCGATATCCATCGCTCTCGCCTTGTGTCAGGTCCGCAATAAATGCGCCGTACAACCCTTGCGCATGCGCCTTGACCACCTGACACTTTCGTCAGGCGTTTGAGGCGCATGACATCACGTGGCCAGCTTTTCGTACACTTTCGTAGGTTGGATGTCTTTTGTCCCATGCGCCCCTTGCCAGGTGTCCGACCCCACATGTCCCGCGCGCTGTCTTGATCATTTGGGTCGTTCACAGTGCGCCCTCAAAGCCCATGGCCCCTACTCCTGTGGGCTTTTTTGGGCTTCTCTGCTTAGGCCCTACTTGACCCATGTCTGCGCCCCCAACAAGCTTCCTTGGGCCATTCTAATTGGATTGCCCCTCGGCCCATACTTACTCCCCCAACACATATACCAATCGAATTTGATAACATCAACATCAACATTTCAAGTTGAGAAAACAAAATGAATCTATGCCCAGAAAACTTTCTTAATTCCTATACTCCCCTGTTCGTCCTCTGACTCATCCGAAACCTAGTAAAACAGAGGAGACATCAAATCGAAATTTGGCAGATCAGAATCTCAGAACTAAGTCCAGACAATGAGAATTTTATGCTTCCATGCATCGACATGAGGACATCTGGCATCCCAATATGAGACAAGAACATCAATAATTGAAAAGTAAAAGAAAGGACCAATATAATGGTGCTCACAAAAAATCATGTTCTCACTACCGAAAATAGTCCACAAAAAAATGCCAGCATATATAAAAATAGCCATGCATTTGAGAAGGATTCATTCTCCAAATCTGAACCCCTAGATTTATTTGAAGAAAGCTAGTTATTTCCCATCATCCATTGCTAAAAAGTCGCTTATAATAGTTCGAATAACCAATCCTAGTTTTTGAATGAAATTTCTTATTTAATTTAGGAGTGAACATCGGTCGATTTGATTCAGAGTTGGATAAAATTAAAATATAATAATAGAACCAATTAAGGAAAATTTGAGAATTGGAATCATATTGAAAACACGGTTGATTCATTTGGGTCGATTATTCGAGTATGAATTCAGTTCTGATATAATTTTTCTTCATGTTTAAGATAATTCGTAAGATCGAACCTGAATCAGAATACGTTTAATCCGGTTTGATGTGGGCTGAATTATTGCTCGTCACTAGTGTAAGAAAGTGATTAAAATCCATCCATGGATCTCTCCATCAGGGGAGACAGGGGGTTCGAGAACTGTCACGTGACATGGATAAGTTTTGATATAAAAAAATCATACAACCCTATATATGCTTATGCAATGGATCAAATATAATTCAGCATATTGAGATAGTATAAGAGTATTGTACCACTACACTAAAGCTCACTTCTTGTTATTTGATTGACATAAAATTAATTTATGCACTATAAAAAAACTCCAATTGAAATAAATCTTTGCCTGGTTTTTCTTTTCTTTTCGAATTACCCTATTTGATTTTGTCGAGCAACTATGAAGTCTGAAGCAGAAGCATCTGTCGATGGGCTCTCCCTTTTCTAGTCGGCTAGTCTCTACTCGATTTTAACTATAATTATTAAATACTTATTCATATATTTTTATTTGGAAAAGAGAATACACCTAGTTTCAAATCCTAACACTATCACTGGACCTCTCCCAACAAATCGTGTTACCGAGACAAGTTGGTTAATGACATGATATCATAGTTGTTTTGTACTTGAGGTCACATGTTCATATCCTAATGACTCCAATATTGATTGTTATCTTAAAGCATATAGTATGACAAACATGTAAAAAGTTCAAGCCCATAAGTTAGTTGGCTTTCGTCGAGGTAGCGTATAACAAATTGATTAAAGCCTATACATAAACCTCTCATGCTCTCACAACAACTCTAAGTATTTGGAATCAGTTGGATTATAACACCCTAGAACTCCAATCTATATTTGGCGTCCATACCAACTCCCTAATCCTATACCTTTCGAATATAAACTTCACAAGACCAAGGCAAAGGGAATATATGAATATTCAGGGATTCAAAAGCAACGGCTACTTTTCTAGTCCAATTCATAGGGTTTCGATTCCCCTTCTAATAATTTTGAGGATATGTTGGATGGAATGGAGCCTTCACCCGAGTCCCACTCTATCTCTCTCCATCATCCTTTTCTTTTCTGAAAGCAATCACACGCAAGAATAAAATAAAGTGATGGAATTGTAATTGTGTAATTCTTTGGGGGTCTACACATGAAGATTAACCATGTAAAGAGAAAGAAACACAGATAGAATAGACATCTCATATGGTCGATGTATGGCATATTTAGATTGGATTCGTTGCTAGTCAATTATTATGTGTGACAAGAGTATTATGACTTATTGAAATAAGTGGTTCTCGATATGGTATTTAGTGTGAGATTTGTTCAAGAGGTTGGTGTTTTGAATATCCACTGCTTTCAATATGAACAGCTTATAGCACAAACTGTAGTAGGCATGTGTAAATTTCAAGTTTATGAGTTGGTTGCAATGATGGGATGTGTAAGAGACTGGTATTAGCCTTATCATTGATCTTTAAAAATTACGAGTTAGTGAGATCAACTGACTATTACTAAATTATGCGTTAAAGACTTGGATTAGTGCTCATGGAAATGGAACTTGCTGCATAATCAGTAATTTACCATTTTGTGCGATTGTCAACCAATTATCGAGATTCAAAAATAAGAATTTTTGGTTCCAATAACTCGAGTTGTTGAGAGATATTCAATAATAGATTTTATACCACATACTAACAACAACTACTTGTGTTGGTAAGTCAGTTATTGTTGATGG